GAGAGCATGTAACTGGAGGAGGAGAGCATGTAACTGGAGGAGGAGAGCATGTAACTGGAGGAGGAGAGCATGTAACTGGAGGAGGAGAGCATGTAACTGGAGGAGGAGAGCATGTAACTGGAGGAGGAGAGCATGTAACTGGAGGAGGAGACCATGTAACTGGAGGAGGAGACCATGTAACTGGAGGAGGAGACCATGTAACTGGAGGAGGAGACCATGTAACTGGAGGAGGAGAGCATGTAACTGGAGGAGGAGACCATGTAACTGGAGGAGGAGACCATGTAACTGGAGGAGGAGACCATGTAACTGGAGGAGGAGACCATGTAACTGGAGGAGGAGAGCATATAACTGGAGGAGGAGACCATGTAACTGGAGGAGGAGACCATGTAACTGGAGGAGGAGACCATGTAACTGGAGGAGGAGACCATGTAACTGGAGGAGGAGACCATGTAACTGGAGGAGGAGACCATGTAACTGGAGGAGGAGACCATGTAACTGGAGGAGGAGACCATGTAACTGGAGGAGGAGACCATGTAACTGGAGGAGGAGACCATGTAACTGGAGGAGGAGAGCATGTAACTGGAGGAGGAGAGCATGTAACTGGAGGAGGAGACCATGTAACTGGAGGAGGAGACCATGTAACTGGAGGAGGAGACCATGTAACTGGAGGAGGAGACCATGTAACTGGAGGAGGAGAGCATGTAACTGGAGGAGGAGAGCATGTAACTGGAGGAGGAGACCATGTAACTGGAGGAGGAGACCATGTAACTGGAGGAGGAGAGCATGTAACTGGAGGAGGAGAGCATGTAACTGGAGGAGGAGACCATGTAACTGGAGGAGGAGACCATGTAACTGGAGGAGGAGACCATGTAACTGGAGGAGGAGACCATGTAACTGGAGGAGGAGAGCATGTAACTGGAGGAGGAGACCATGTAACTGGAGGAGGAGAGCATGTAACTGGAGGAGGAGACCATGTAACTGGAGGAGGAGAGCATGTAACTGGAGGAGGAGAGCATGTAACTGGAGGAGGAGAGCATGTAACTGGAGGAGGAGAGCATGTAACTGGAGGAGGGAGGAGGAGAGCATGTAACTGGAGGAGGAGAGCATGTAACTGGAGGAGGAGAGCATGTAACTGGAGGAGGAGAGCATGTAACTGGAGGAGGAGAGCATGTAACTGGAGGAGGAGAGCATGTAACTGGAGGAGGAGAGCATGTAACTGGAGGAGGAGAGCATGTAACTGGAGGAGGAGAGCATGTAACTGGAGGAGGAGAGCATGTAACTGGAGGAGGAGAGCATGTAACTGGAGGAGGAGAGCATGTAACTGGAGGAGGAGAGCATGTAACTGGAGGAGGAGAGCATTTTACTGGAGGAGGAGAGCATGTAACTGGAGGAGGAGAGCATGTAACTGGAGGAGGAGAGCATGTAACTGGAGGAGGAGAGCATGTAACTGGAGGAGGAGAGCATGTAACTGGAGGAGGAGAGCATGTAACTGGAGGAGGAGAGCATGTAACTGGAGGAGGAGACCATGTAACTGGAGGAGGAGACCATGTAACTGGAGGAGGAGACCATGTAACTGGAGGAGGAGACCATGTAACTGGAGGAGGAGAGCATGTAACTGGAGGAGGAGACCATGTAACTGGAGGAGGAGACCATGTAACTGGAGGAGGAGACCATGTAACTGGAGGAGGAGACCATGTAACTGGAGGAGGAGACCATGTAACTGGAGGAGGAGACCATGTAACTGGAGGAGGAGACCATGTAACTGGAGGAGGAGAGCATGTAACTGGAGGAGGAGAGCATGTAACTGGAGGAGGAGACCATGTAACTGGAGGAGGAGACCATGTAACTGGAGGAGGAGACCATGTAACTGGAGGAGGAGACCATGTAACTGGAGGAGGAGACCATGTAACTGGAGGAGGAGACCATGTAACTGGAGGAGGAGACCATGTAACTGGAGGAGGAGACCATGTAACTGGAGGAGGAGACCATGTAACTGGAGGAGGAGACCATGTAACTGGAGGAGGAGACCATGTAACTGGAGGAGGAGACCATGTAACTGGAGGAGGAGACCATGTAACTGGAGGAGGAGACCATGTAACTGGAGGAGGAGACCATGTAACTGGAGGAGGAGACCATGTAACTGGAGGAGGAGACCATGTAACTGGAGGAGGAGACCATGTAACTGGAGGAGGAGACCATGTAACTGGAGGAGGAGAGCATGTAACTGGAGGAGGAGACCACGTAACTGGAGGAGGAGACCATGTAACTGGAGGAGGAGACCATGTAACTGGAGGAGGAGAGCATGTAACTGGAGGAGGAGAGCATGTAACTGGAGGAGGAGACCATGTAACTGGAGGAGGAGACCATGTAACTGGAGGAGGAGAGCATGTAACTGGAGGAGGAGAGCATGTAACTGGAGGAGGAGACCATGTAACTGGAGGAGGAGAGCATGTAACTGGAGGAGGAGACCATGTAACTGGAGGAGGAGACCATGTAACTGGAGGAGGAGACCATGTAACTGGAGGAGGAGAGCATGTAACTGGAGGAGGAGAGCATGTAACTGGAGGAGGAGACCATGTAACTGGAGGAGGAGAGCATGTAACTGGAGGAGGAGAGCATGTAACTGGAGGAGGAGAGCATGTAACTGGAGGAGGAGAGCATGTAACTGGAGGAGGAGAGCATGTAACTGGAGGAGGAGAGCATGTAACTGGAGGAGGAGAGCATGTAACTGGAGGAGGAGAGCATGTAACTGGAGGAGGAGAGCATGTAACTGGAGGAGGAGAGCATGTAACTGGAGGAGGAAGGAGGAGACCATGTAACTGGAGGAGGAGAGCATGTAACTGGAGGAGGAGAGCATGTAACTGGAGGAGGAGAGCATGTAACTGGAGGAGGAGACCATGTAACTGGAGGAGGAGACCATGTAACTGGAGGAGGAGAGCATGTAACTGGAGGAGGAGAGCATGTAACTGGAGGAGGAGACCATGTAACTGGAGGAGGAGACCATGTAACTGGAGGAGGAGAGCATGTAACTGGAGGAGGAGAGCATGTAACTGGAGGAGGAGAGCATGTAACTGGAGGAGGAGAGCATGTAACTGGAGGAGGAGAGCATGTAACTGGAGGAGGAGAGCATGTAACTGGAGGAGGAGATCATGTAACTGGAGGAGGAGAGCATGTAACTGGAGGAGGAGAGCATGTAACTGGAGGAGGAGAGCATGTAACTGGAGGAGGAGAGCATGTAACTGGAGGAGGAGAGCATGTAACTGGAGGAGGAGAGCATGTAACTGGAGGAGGAGAGCATGTAACTGGAGGAGGAGAGCATGTAACTGGAGGAGGAGAGCATGTAACTGGAGGAGGAGAGCATGTAACTGGAGGAGGAGAGCATGTAACTGGAGGAGGAGAGCATGTAACTGGAGGAGGAGACCATGTAACTGGAGGAGGAGACCATGTAACTGGAGGAGGAGACCATGTAACTGCACCCGCACCCGCACGCGGTAGTGGTTCGTCGGCTGCTAAGTTGATTTCTACCTTTCCTCCCCGTTATAGACGATCCCCGCTTGGGCTTCCTTCACTAAGTTATTATGGGCATATCCCCCCCCACCCGCACGCGGTAGTGGTTCGTCGGCTGCTAAGTTGATTTCTATCTTCCCTCCTCGTTACAGACGATCCCCGCTTGGGCTTCCTTCACTAAGTTATTATGGGCATATCCCCCCCCACCCGCACGCGGTAGTGGTTCGTCGGCTGCTAAGTTGATTTCTATCTTTCCTCCCCGTTACAGACGATCCCCGCTTGGGCTTCCTTCACTAAGTTATTATGGGCATATCCCCCCCCACCCGCACGCGGTAGTGGTTCGTCGGCTGCTAAGTTGATATCTATCTTCCCTCCTCGTTACAGACGATCCCCGCTTGGGCTTCCTTCACTAAGTTATTATTGGCATATCTCCCCAGGGCCTAGGAAAGACCCTGCAGTCCATCTCGCTGCTGGGGTACCTGCACGAGTTCAAGGGCATATCAGGGCCGCACATGGTGGTGGCTCCGAACTTCACTCCCCGCTCCCTAACCACTGACTTTCTCCTTTTTCCCCTCCCTCCCTCCTTCGCCCCCTCCCCACGGCGTCCCCCCAGGGCCTAGGAAAGACCCTGCAGTCCATCTCGCTGCTGGGGTACCTGCACGAGTTCAAGGGCATATCAGGGCCGCACATCGTGGTGGCTCCGAACTTCACTCCCCGCTCCCTAACCACTGACTTGCTCCTTTTTCCCCTCCCTCCCTCCTTCGCCCCCTCCCCACGGCGTCCCCCCAGGGCCTAGGAAAGACCCTGCAGTCCATCTCGCTGCTGGGGTACCTGCACGAGTTCAAGGGCATATCAGGGCCGCACATCGTGGTGGCTCCGAACTTCACTCCCCGCTCCCTAACCACTGACTTGCTCCTTTTTCCCCTCCCTCCCTCCTTCGCCCCCTCCCCACGGCGTCCCCCCAGGGCCTAGGAAAGACCCTGCAGTCCATCTCGCTGCTGGGGTACCTGCACGAGTTCAAGGGCATATCAAGGCCGCACATCGTGGTGGCTCCGAACTTCACTCCCCGCTCCCTAACCACTGACTTGCTCCTTTTTCCCCTCCCTCCCTTCTTCGCCCCCTCCCCACGGCGTCCCCCCAGGGCCTAGGAAAGACCCTGCAGTCCATCTCGCTGCTGGGGTACCTGCACGAGTTCAAGGGCATATCAGGGCCGCACATCGTGGTGGCTCCGAACTTCACTCCCCGCTCCCTAACCACTGACTTGCTCCTTTTTCCCCTCCCTCCCTCCTTCGCCCCCTCCCCACGGCGTCCCCCCAGGGCCTAGGAAAGACCCTGCAGTCCATCTCGCTGCTGGGGTACCTGCACGAGCTCAAGGGCATATCAGGGCCGCACATGGTGGTGGCTCCGAACTTCACTCCCCGCTCCCTAACCACTGACTTGCTCCTTTTTCCCCTCCCTCCCTCCTTCGCCCCCTCCCCACGGCGTCCCCCCAGGGCCTAGGAAAGACCCTGCAGTCCATCTCGCTGCTGGGGTACCTGCACGAGTTCAAGGGCATATCAGGGCCGCACATCGTGGTGGCGCCCAAGTCCACGCTGGGCAACTGGATCAAGGAGCTGCACCGCTTCTGCCCCTCCCTGCGCGCCTTCAAGTTCCACGGCAACCAGGACGAGCGCACCCACATGCGCTCCCACATGCTGCAGCCGGGGAAGTTTGACGTGGTGGTGACGAGCTATGAGATGGTGATCAAGGAGAAGACGGCCTTTCGGCGGCTGTCGTGGCGGTACATTATCATTGATGAGGCGCACCGCATCAAGAACGAGAATTCGATTCTCTCCAAAACCATGCGGCTCTTTTCATCCAACTACCGCCTCCTCATCACCGGCACTCCGCTTCAGGTATGCTGTCTATAGGCACTGGACTCCCTTGTTGCCCCCCCCTTACAGCACCACCACCTTCCCAAGCTGCTGCACAGGGGAAGGTGGCTGTCGTGGCGGTACATTATCATCGACGAGGCGCACCGCATCAAGAACGAGAATTCGATTCTCTCCAAAACCATGCGGCTCTTTTCATCCAACTACCGCCTCCTCATCACCGGCACTCCGCTTCAGGTATGCCTGTAGGCTGGCTGAACGGCGTTCTCAAAAGCCCTCTCACACACATTCCGGACCCTTTCTTCAGTTCGCTTCCATCTCCCTTCCCTTCCCTTCCCTTCCCTTCCCTTCCCTTCCCTTCCCTTCCCTTCCCTCCCCTCCCCTCCCCTCCCCTCCCCTCCCCTCCCCTCCCCTCCCCACCCTGCAGAACAACCTGCACGAGCTCTGGGCACTGCTGAACTTTCTTCTGCCCGAGATCTTCAGCTCAGCAGAGGCGTTTGACTCGTGGTTCCAGCTGTCAGACGGGGAGGACCAGCAGGAGGTGGTGCAGCAGCTGCACAAGGTGCTCCGCCCCTTCCTGCTCCGGCGGCTCAAGTCGGACGTGGAGCGGGGGCTCCCTCCCAAGAAAGAGACCATTCTGAAGGTGCGTTCACATGCGAAGTGCCAACAACCACCGAGTGCCTGCTGCACAGTAGGACATAGAGGTATAGCTCTTGCCAATCAGCCTCTCTAGCACCCTTTACTCCTAACTCTTTTTGCATCCCACCAATCTCCAATTCTCACCACTCTCCTCCCACCACTCCTCTCCCACCCTCAGCATAACTGTTACCAGGCGTTCATTGCTGGAGCAGGACATCGAGATCTAGCTCTCTAGTTCTTCAATCTGCCTCAATGTCCCTTTTGAGGATTCTCAAAAGTAACACCAACATAGCATAACTGTTACCAGGCGTTCATTGCTGGAGAAGGACATCGAGATCTAGCTCTCTAGTTCTTCAATCTGCCTCAATGTCCCTTTTGAGGATTCTCAAAAGTAACACCAACATAGCATAACTGTTACCAGGCGTTCATTGCTGGAGCAGGACATCGAGATCTAGCTCTCTAGTTCTTCAATCTGCCTCAATGTCCCTTTTGAGGATTCTCAAAAGTAACACCAACATAGCATAACTGCTACCAGGCGTTCATTGCTGGAGCAGGACATCGAGATCTAGCTCTCTAGTTCTTCAATCTGCCTCAATGTCCCTTTTGAGGATTCTCAAAAGTAACACCAACATGGCATAACTGTTACCAGGCGTTCATTGCTGGAGCAGGACATCGAGATCTAGCTCTCTAGTTCTTCAATCTGCCTCAATGTCCCTTTTGAGGATTCTCAAAAGTAACACCAACATAGCATAACTGTTACCAGGCGTTCATTGCTGGAGCAGGACATCGAGATCTAGCTCTCTAGTTCTTCAATCTGCCTCAATGTCCCTTTTGAGGATTCTCAAAAGTAACACCAACATAGCATAACTGTTACCAGGCGTTCATTGCTGGAGCAGGACATCGAGATCTAGCTCTCTAGTTCTTCAATCTGCCTCAATGTCCCTTTTGAGGATTCTCAAAAGTAACACCAACATAGCATAACTGCTACCAGGCGTTCATTGCTGGAGCAGGACATCGAGATCTAGCTCTCTAGTTCTTCAATCTGCCTCAATGTCCCTTTTGAGGATTCTCAAAAGTAACACCAACATAGCATAACTGTTACCAGGCGTTCATTGCTGGAGAAGGACATCGAGATCTAGCTCTCTAGTTCTTCAATCTGCCTCAATGTCCCTTTTGAGGATTCTCAAAAGTAACACCAACATAGCATAACTGTTACCAGGCGTTCATTGCTGGAGAAGGACATCGAGATCTAGCTCTCTAGTTCTTCAATCTGCCTCAATGTCCCTTTTGAAGATTCTCAAAAGTAACACCAACATAGCATAACTGTTACCAGGCGTTCATTGCTGGAGCAGGACATCGAGATCTAGCTCTCTAGTTCTTCAATCTGCCTCAATGTCCCTTTTGAGGATTCTCAAAAGTAACACCAACATGGCATAACTGTTACCAGGCGTTCATTGCTGGAGCAGGACATCGAGATCTAGCTCTCTAGTTCTTCAATCTGCCTCAATGTCCCTTTTGAGGATTCTCAAAAGTAACACCAACATAGCATAACTGTTACCAGGCGTTCATTGCTGGAGCAGGACATCGAGATCTAGCTCTCTAGTTCTTCAATCTGCCTCAATGTCCCTTTTGAGGATTCTCAAAAGTAACACCAACATAGCATAACTGTTCCCAGGCGTTCATTGCTGGAGCAGGACATCGAGATCTAGCTCTCTAGTTCTTCAATCTGCCTCAATGTCCCTTTTGAGGATTCTCAAAAGTAACACCAACATAGCATAACTGCTACCAGGCGTTCATTGCTGGAGCAGGACATCGAGATCTAGCTCTCTAGTTCTTCAATCTGCCTCAATGTCCCTTTTGAGGATTCTCAAAAGTAACACCAACATAGCATAACTGTTACCAGGCGTTCATTGCTGGAGAAGGACATCGAGATCTAGCTCTCTAGTTCTTCAATCTGCCTCAATGTCCCTTTTGAGGATTCTCAAAAGTAACACCAACATAGCATAACTGTTACCAGGCGTTCATTGCTGGAGAAGGACATCGAGATCTAGCTCTCTAGTTCTTCAATCTGCCTCAATGTCCCTTTTGAAGATTCTCAAAAGTAACACCAACATAGCATAACTGTTACCAGGCGTTCATTGCTGGAGCAGGACATCGAGATCTAGCTCTCTAGTTCTTCAATCTGCCTCAATGTCCCTTTTGAGGATTCTCAAAAGTAACACCAACATAGCATAACTGCTACCAGGCGTTCATTGCTGGAGCAGGACATCGAGATCTAGCTCTCTAGTTCTTCAATCTGCCTCAATGTCCCTTTTGAGGATTCTCAAAAGTAACACCAACATAGCATAACTGTTACCAGGCGTTCATTGCTGGAGAAGGACATCGAGATCTAGCTCTCTAGTTCTTCAATCTGCCTCAATGTCCCTTTTGAGGATTCTCAAAAGTAACACCAACATAGCATAACTGTTACCAGGCGTTCATTGCTGGAGAAGGACATCGAGATCTAGCTCTCTAGTTCTTCAATCTGCCTCAATGTCCCTTTTGAGGATTCTCAAAAGTAACACCAACATAGCATAACTGTTACCAGGCGTTCATTGCTGGAGCAGGACATCGAGATCTAGCTCTCTAGTTCTTCAATCTGCCTCAATGTCCCTTTTGAGGATTCTCAAAAGTAACACCAACATAGCATAACTGCTACCAGGCGTTCATTGCTGGAGCAGGACATCGAGATCTAGCTCTCTAGTTCTTCAATCTGCCTCAATGTCCCTTTTGAGGATTCTCAAAAGTAACACCAACATGGCATAACTGTTACCAGGCGTTCATTGCTGGAGCAGGACATCGAGATCTAGCTCTCTAGTTCTTCAATCTGCCTCAATGTCCCTTTTGAGGATTCTCAAAAGTAACACCAACATAGCATAACTGTTACCAGGCGTTCATTGCTGGAGAAGGACATCGAGATCTAGCTCTCTAGTTCTTCAATCTGCCTCAATGTCCCTTTTGAGGATTCTCAAAAGTAACACCAACATAGCATAACTGTTACCAGGCGTTCATTGCTGGAGAAGGACATCGAGATCTAGCTCTCTAGTTCTTCAATCTGCCTCAATGTCCCTTTTGAAGATTCTCAAAAGTAACACCAACATAGCATAACTGTTACCAGGCGTTCATTGCTGGAGCAGGACATCGAGATCTAGCTCTCTAGTTCTTCAATCTGCCTCAATGTCCCTTTTGAGGATTCTCAAAAGTAACACCAACATAGCATAACTGCTACCAGGCGTTCATTGCTGGAGCAGGACATCGAGATCTAGCTCTCTAGTTCTTCAATCTGCCTCAATGTCCCTTTTGAGGATTCTCAAAAGTAACACCAACATAGCATAACTGTTACCAGGCGTTCATTGCTGGAGCAGGACATCGAGTTTTGATTCTAGCAGCAGTTCTTCCATTGGAGTTCTAGTTCTCTCCAATCTGCCTCTCTAATAGCTTTCTCTCCCCGCCCTCCCTGCCATCAGGTGGGCATTAGTGACGTGAAACCCAACTAGGGCAACCCAACTGCAGCCGGGCACTGCTGCAGAAGGGCAGTTGAGGGCGTTTCAAGAACTGAGACCGTATTTCTTAGGCAATTTTTGAGGTACCCCAAAAAACATTCCTCCAAACCAAACCTCCCTTCTCGTCCCCCGCTGACCGACCCTGACCGACCCAATCAGGTGGGCATGGCCTGAGCGAGGTGCAGCGCAACTACTACCGGGCGGGCGCTGCTGCAGAAGGACATAGAGCTCTGGCGCTTTGCAATCGGCCTTGTAACTTGTTTCTCTTCCTGCTCATTCTGCCGTTCACCTCCCCACTCTCTCTGCCATCAGGTGGGTATGAGTGAGGTGCAGCGCAACTACTACCGGGCGCTGCTGCAGAAAGATATAGAGGTGCTGAACAGCGGGGGAGAGAGGTCCCGCCTGCTCAACATTGCCATGCAGCTGCGCAAGTGCTGCAACCACCCCTACCTCTTCCAGGTACCACATCCTTCCTCTCTTCTTCTGCATCCTATTCTTCCTTTGTTTCTTGTCTTTTTCTTCTTTCTTTCTTTTTTCCTGTTTTTCCTTCTTGAAACGCTTCGATAAAAGCATCCAGGAAAATAGATAGAGTTTTGTTGGCTCCGTCAAGTGGATTGTCAAGTGGATTGTCAAGTGGATGCTTCTTGGCGACTTGAAACGCCGTCAAGTCGCCAAGATCACTTGAACTTCACTTTGACCAACAGTGCACTCACTCAAATGTCATGTGCTTCTCACTCTTTCTTAAAACCCTTCCAGGGAGCCGAGCCCGGCCCGCCCTTCATCACGGACGAGCACCTGATAGAAGCTTCCGGGAAGATGGTGCTGCTGGACCGGCTGCTCCCGAAGCTGAAGGCGCGGGACTCCCGGGTGCTCATCTTCTCACAGATGACGCGCCTGCTGGATATTCTCGAGGATTACTGCATGTTCCGCGGGCATCAGTACTGCCGGATCGACGGCAACACGGGGGGTGACGAGAGGGAGGCTGCGATCGAGGAGTTTAATAAAGAAGGCAGCGAGACGTTTATCTTCCTGCTGTCTACCCGGGCGGGTGGGCTGGGGATTAACCTCGCCACAGCTGACATTGTGATTATATACGACTCTGACTGGTGAGTAGAGAGCTGCATCAACAAGCATTTCTGTAATGAAACGTGTCATTGGCTGGCGGGTGGGTGGGTTGAGATGACGCGCCTGCTGGACGGCAACGCGGGCGGTGACGAGAGGGAGGCGGCGATCGAGGAGTTTAATAAAGAAGGGGGCGAGACGTTCATCTTTCTGCTGTCTACCCGGGCTGGTGGGCTGGGGATCAACCTCGCCACGGCTGACATTGTGATTATATACAACTCCGACTGGTGAGTACAGAGCTGCATCAACAGGCGTGATGATATCCATGTAATGCAGTACAACAGCATGGGCTGGTGGGTGGGTTGGTTGGGAATCACTTTCTTAGGCGCCGCAAAGACGATCTCTACATGCAGCCCCTACCCACGTGTATTGAGGTGTATTTTGAGGCGCCTCAAAATACACGACAATCTGCACATGCAGCCCCTACCCACGCCTCATTAATTCATGTCTTCACATCCCATACTTTCTTGCTCTCCGCAGGAACCCTCAAGCGGATCTACAGGCCATGGACAGAGCACATCGCATCGGGCAGAAGAAGGAAGTGCAGGTTTTCCGATTCTGCACTGAGGTGAGCAGCCCAAATCCATCCCTCTTGCCCTACGTCCGTCTGCCTCCCTCCGTCCCGCTCATGTCCTCCAATCTGCGCTGACGTCAGCTGCCTGTATCCGTCCCTCACTTGCTCTCTCCCCTCCTCCCAATCTGCACTGGCATGGGCTGTTTGTCTTGGTTCATCCCTCTGTCAGTCCGTCCATCCGTCCGTCCGTCCGTCCCTCCATCCATCCCCTCTCCCCTCCCTCCGTCTCTCCTGTACAAGCTGCTGGCTCTGTTGTTTGTCCACAGTTCTCAACTGTAATCGATTCAATCTTCCCCTTTCACGTTTCACCTGCCAGCACACGATAGAGGAGAAGGTGATAGAGCGGGCGTACAAGAATCTGACTCTATTGTTCCTCAAGAATTTTTAACTCCTCTCAAACTCCCCTTCCCCACACCTTTCCCCACCTTCTGCCAGCACACGATAGAGGAGAAGGTGATAGGGCGCGCATACAAGAAGCTGGCTCTGTTGTTTCTCCTTCCCCCCCCCATCCCACCTCCCTGCCACACCCCCCGGCAGCACACGATAGAGGAGAAGGTGATAGAGCGCGCGTATAAGAAGCTGGCTCTGGACGCGCTCATCATCCAGCAGGGCAGGCTGGCGGAGCAACGAGGTACGTGGAGTAGAGTAGTGGCTAGTTTGCCATGTGCAGAGAGAAGCGCATGCCGAAGGTGCTTTGAAAACATGTTTTGAGCCGTCTTTGAGCACATGTTTCAGCATCCACCCTAATGCCTTCCACCCAGCTGTTGAGCATGGGAACAAGGGCGAGGTGAGCTGCTCTGCTCCTAATGGTGTGTGAACCCTCTTGAATGCTCTCATAGCCACTCTTCAACCCTTCCCCTCTCCAGCCCTCCTAGCTGTGAATAAGAATCAGCTGCTGCAGAGCAGATGGATGGATAATCTCTACGATTGTTTTGAGACGTCTCAAAAGCAGATGGATGGATAATCTCTACGATTGTTTTGAGACGTCTCAAAAGCAGATGGATGGATAATCTCTACGATGCCTGCGAACTCCCTTGACTTCTCTACAACCCACTCTTTACCCCTTCCCTCCTGCAACCATGCCAGCTGTGAACAAGGTCTAGCTGCTGCAGATGGTGCGGTCCGGAGCAGAAAAAGTCTTGAGACGTCTCAAAACTAGCTGCTGCAGATGGTGCGGTCCGGAGCAGAAAAAGTCTTGAGACGTCTCAAAACTAGCTGCTGCAGATGGTGCGGTCCGGAGCAGAAAAAGTCTTGAGACGTCTCAAAACTAGCTGCTGCAGATGGTGCGGTCCGGAGCAGCAAAAGTCTTGAGACGTCACAAAACTAGCTGCTGCAGATGGTGCGGTCCGGAGCAGAAAAAGTCTTGAGACGTCTCAAAACTAGCTGCTGCAGATGGTGCGGTCCGGAGCAGAAAAAGTCTTGAGACGTCTCAAAACTAGCTGTTGCAGATGGTGCGGTCCGGAGCAGCAAAAGTCTTGAGACGTCTCAAAACTAGCTGCTGCAGATGGTGCGGTCCGGAGCAGAAAAAGTCTTGAGACGTCTCAAAACTAGCTGCTGCAGATGGTGCGGTCCGGAGCAGAAAAAGTCTTGAGACGTCTCAAAACTAGCTGCTGCAGATGGTGCGGTCCGGAGCAGAAAAAGACTTGAGACGTCTCAAAACTAGCTGCTGCAGATGGTGCGGTCCGGAGCAGAAAAAGTCTTCACATCAGCCAATACGACCATCACCGATGCTGGCTTCCTGGCCTTTCCCGTCTCCCTCTTTTCTCTCAGCTGTGAACAAGGAGAGCTGCTGCAGATGCTGCAGTTTGGTGCCGAAGGTCTTCACATCTGCCAACATAACATAACCATCACCGATGCTGACTTGCTGGTCCCCCCTCCTCTCCTCCCCACTCCTCCCCACCTCTCCCCCTTCCCCTCTTCAACCCGCTCAGCTGTGAACAAGGATGAGCTGCTGCAGATGGTGCGCTTCGGAGCAGAAAAGGTGTTTACCTCCGCCAACACGACCATCACTGATGCTGACGTGGACAGGATCATCGCCAAGGGTGAGGAGGCGACCGCTGAGCTGGACGCCAAGATGAGAAAGTTCACGGAAGATGCGATAAAGTTTAAAATGGACGACACGGCGCTGTACAGTCTGGGCGAGGGCGAGAAGGAGGAGGAGAGGCCTGATCTCAAGAAGCTGGTCACTGAGAACTGGGTCGAGCCGTCAAGGAGAGAGCGCAAGAAGAAGTGAGTCCCTACCATCCCCCTCATGCTGTTCCCTCATGCTGTTCCCTCATGCTGTTCCCTCATGCTGTTCCCTCATGCTGTTCCCTCATGCTGTTCCCTCATGCTGTTCCTTTATAAAAAGCATAAGGGAGTCCTTCTCTTTTTTCCCTTTGAACACGGTGCCCTGCTCTCTTCTCCGTGCACATGCATGCACGAGTGTTTGTATGTGTGTGTGTGCTCGCATGTGCAGATGCACGTGTGGTGCACGTATGTGCATGCATGCATGTTGATCGTTATCCCCCTCTTTATCCTTCCCTTTTTTAGAACCCCTCCTCTTCTCCCCCTTCCTCCTCCTCTTCTCTCCCCTCCTCTTTCCCTCCCTCCCTCCTCTTTCCCCACCTCCCTCCTCTTTCCCCCCCTCCCTCCTCTTTCCCCCCCTCCCTCCTCTTTCCCCCCTTTCCCTCCCCAACCCCCCATAACTACTATTCAGAGGCAGAGTATTATCCCCAGGCAATGCGGCTGACAGAAGGTTTTACCACCCCTCTCTTCCCCATCTCCCCCTTTTCTGTCCCGCTCTCCCCACTTGTCCCCCACCTCTTCTCCCCCTCTCCCCCCTCTCGCCCGTGACAGCTATTCAGAGGCAGAGTATTACCGCCAGGCCATGCGGATGGGGCCACCCTCTCAGCCAAAGTCCAAGGAGGCCCGCTTGCCAAAAATGCCCGTGCTGTGAGTCAGTGGGAGGGGAGAAGAAGGGTTGGGTGGTTAGGAAAGGGGAAAAGGGAGCAGGGGAGAGGGGGGAACGGGTAAAGGGAAAGGAGTCTCACCCAGCTTTTATTTGTGTTGGGGGTAGGAGAAGGTGGGGCAGGAGGAGGACGCAGGGGCAGGGGTGGAGAGGGTGCGGGGAGACGTTTCGAAACTCAACATCTGAAAAGCTAATTTGTAAGACAGCTCATATATATTAGAAAAAAGAAAGAGAAAAATGTCACTTCTTACCACCCCTGACACCACGCTCCCACTCCTTTTCCCACCCCCGTCCACCGCCCCACCCCTTCCTTCCACCATCCCTGCCACCCACCCCCTACCACCTCCCCGTCCACTCCCTCCCTCCCAGGCACGACTTCCAGTTCTTCAACACGGCTCGCCTCTCAGAGCTCTTTAGATTCAACTCAAATGTCACTTCCCACCACCCTGTTACCCACCCCTTCCACCCACCCCTTCCTCCCTCTCACCCCTCCCGTCCACTCCCTCCCTCCCAGTCACGACTTCCAGTTGTTCAACACAGCTCGCCTCTCAGAGCTCTTTAGATTCAACTCAAATGTCACTTCCCACCACCCTTTTACCCACCCCTTCCTTCCTCTCACCCCTCCCGTCCACTCCCTCCCTCCCAGTCACGACTTCCAGTTGTTCAACACAGCTCGCCTCTCAGAGCTCTTTAGATTCAACTCAAATGTCACTTCCCACCACCCTGTTACCCACCCCTTCCACCCACCCCTTCCTTCCTCTCACCCCTCCCGTCCACTCCCTCCCTCCCAGTCACGACTTCCAGTTCTTCAACACGGCTCGCCTCTCAGAGCTCTTTGACAAGGAGGCAAAGGCTAAGCTGGTGAGTTGTGTGATTATAGCGAGTTGGTGGGACTGAAGTGCCTGTGGGTGTGCTACATAGGGGGTTTGTGACTGGTGTGCCTCTCAGAGCTCTTTGACAAGGAGGGCAAGGCTAAGCTGGTGAGTTGTGTGATTGAAGGATGTTGTCATTATAGGGTTTTGTCGCTGGTGTGCCTCTCAGAGCTCTTGACAAGCAGGCCAAGGCCCAAGCTGGTCAGTGAATGGGTGAATCTGAGTGTGCTGGTGACTGGTGTGTTGGAGAAGGAGAATGACTGGTGTGCCTCTCAGAGCTCCGTGACAAGGATGCCAAGGCCAAGCTGGTCAGTCACTGTTGGGTGTCGTTATAACCTTTTTTGACAAAAGCAGGTGTCCCACATAAGGGGTTTGTAACTGGTGTGCCTCTGAGAGCTCCGTGACAAGGATGCCAAGGCCAAGCTGGTCAGTCACTGTTGGGTGTCGTTATAACCTTTTTTGACAAAAGCAGGTGTCCCACATAAGGGGTTTGTGACTGGTGTGCCTCTCAGAGCTCCGTGACAAGGATGCCAAGGCCAAGCTGGTCAGTCACTGTTGGGTGTCGTTATAACCTTTTTTGACAAAAGCAGGTGTCCCACATAAGGGGTTTGTGATTGGTGTGCCTCTCAGAGCTCCGTGACAAGGACGCCAAGGCCAAGCCAGCCAGTCACTGGGTGATTGACTGTGATATAAGCACATTGTTGTGACTGTAGTGTCTGTAAGGGGGTGCCATAGAGGGAGTGACACTGATGTGCTTCTTGGAGCTCTTTGACAAAGCGGCCCGGTTCACGGGCGTGTGCTGGAAGAAGTCAAGGCAGAAATGGGAAGCATACTACAAGGATAAAAAAAGAGGAGCAAGCATAACGTCTAGTTTCCGATGACCTTGCTCCTCTTCTTAACCAAGGTGTGCCTCTTGGCAAGGAGGCCACGGGCAAGCTGGTCAGTGCTGCTGCTGCTGCTGTGATCGTAGGGTGTTGTGATTGAATATTGCTCTTTAATATGCCTGTCACGCACTTGTTTGTCGTATTTCTCCCTCCTGGTGTGGTTGGCAGCAAGCATTGGAACGGCAGGCAGCAAAGAAGGACGCCAAGGAAGGGGGCGAACCGTTTGAGGAGGACGGTGAGTGGGCGTAGAGGGATGGAGAGGGATGGAGAGGGATGGAGAGGGATGGAGAGGGATGGAGAGGGATGGAGTTTGGGGGATGATGAGTACCAACCAAGTATGCCTCTCTTGTCCTTCTGTAGCCTTGCAATGAGATGCCAACGAAATTCATACATGTGGTTCTCTGTGCGCCTGTGTATCTCTGATGGTGTGAATGCGCCCACCTCCATCTATCTCCCCTTTTTCTTGTACCAGACGAGCAGCCCATTCTGTCGCTAACGGATGAGGAGCAAGAGGAGAAACTGACCCTTCTCAATCAGGTTAGCACGACGAGATGTACCAGCAGCACCAACAGCAATACTCAACACTGGTCAGCACCATCAGCACTAGTCAACTCTGGTCCATCAGGTCATGAACTCTCAAAGTTTAAGGCCCATCCATCTGGTCCTGCTTGACCAGTTTCTGTACGAGAAAAGCAGCATAAATATATATATATATATCATTTTTTTTCTGTTCTTGGCATTTTCCAATTCCATAAAAGCTTCCTTCTCGCTCTGTTTCTCCTCTTTCTCTCCCTTTCTCCCTTCCATCAGGGCTTTAAGTCGTGGACGCGTAAGGACTTCAACCACTTCCTGCGGCTGTGTGAGAAGTATGGGCGAGCGGACGTCGCAAGCATTGCTGCAGAGATGGAGGGGAAGACAGAGGCAGATGTTCGGGAGTATGCTGCGGTGTTCTGGGAGCGATGCACCGAGCTGAATGGTGAGATGTGCCTGTGGAAAGTCGATTAATGTGCAGGTAGCGAAGAAGCATGGGTTATGTGAGAAGCACGGGCGAGCAGACGTGGCGAGCATTGCTGCAGAGATGAAGTGGAAGACGGAAGCAAAAGTTCAGGAGTATGCGGCAGTGTTGTGGGAGCGATGCATTTTTGAGACGTCTCGAAAGTGTTGTGGGAGAGATGCACCGAGTTTTGAGAGGTCTCAAAAGTGTTGTGGGAGGGATGCACCGAGCTGAATGGTGAGAGTTGCCTGTATAAACGGGTTGCTGGGACGCGATCCAGTTTTGAGACGTCTCAAAACTAAATTGCCTGTGTAAACGGGTTTCTGGGACGCGATCCTGTACGAATTAAAGAAGGGTGAGTCTTCTGTCCAGTGCCAGCGCTTTCTAGGTTTTCCCCATTTTTCACCCTTTTCCCCTCACCCTTTTCCGCTCACCCTTTTCCCTGTTTTCCACCCTTCTCCTGCGACAGATTGGGACAAGATTCTGCGCAACATAGAGAAGGGGGAGGCGCGCATCGTTCGGAGGGAGGAGATAATGCAGTCGGTGCGGCGCAAGATGGAGCGGTACAGCAACCCCTGGGTGGAGCTGCGGATCCAGTACGGCACCAACAAGGGCAAATACTACACCGAGGAGAGCGACCGCTTCATGGTTTGGACGTGGGGGGTGCGGGTGGGGAGGGGAGGTGGATTGGTGGGGGGGGGGGGGGGGGGGGGGGGGGGGGGGGTAGAGGGGAGGTGGATTAGTGCTCTGCATTGCTGTGTCTTGTGTTGCTCTCACTGTTAGTCTTGCACCAGCTTGTCCCTCTCAATGCTAGCTCTGATGTCAAGTCTCGTGACACACCAAGCTGCATTCTCTCATTTGATTCTCCCTTCTTCCTTCTCTTTTCTACTATCGTTTTCACTGACTCCCGTTCTTCCTCTGCGTCCGTCAGATCTGCATGATCCAACGGCTGGGATACGGCAACTGGGATGAGCTCCGGGCAGCTGTGCGCCAGTCCCACCTGTTCAAATTCGATTGGTTCCTGAAATCAAGGCAGCCGCCTGAGCTGGCACGGCGGTGCGACACGCTCATCCGATTGGTGGAGAAGGAGAATCAGGAGCTGGAGGAGAAGGAAAGGCAGGCGAAGAGGGACAAGAAGAACAGCGCCAAGGTAAAGCGACGGTTCTCTTTTCTCCCAATGGGCTCCATTTATCAGCTGCTGTGCATCAATCTTGCTGTTTTTGTTATTGTTTTTGTTTGTTCTCCTCTGCTACCTCGTTCGTGGTTGAAATACAAGCATCTGGAACAAGGAGAGGAGCTGGCCAGGCAGCAGCGGCCGCAGTGCATCATATATTTTGTTTTGTCCCGCCTTCTTATTGTGATTGGACTACAGGCATCTGGAGCAAGCAGAGGAGGTGGTCATGCAGCAGCGGCGGCAGCAGCGGACACTGTTGGCGCCGGAAGCAGGAAGCGAAAACAGTCAACTCTTGAGGCATTCGTGGTAAGATTCCTTGTAGTAACTCCGTTTCTTTTTTACCACGAGAAGTTCCTCTTTCTACTTTCTCTCACAGCCGTGCATGTGTTTCCATGCTCCGATTCTCCAGCCTTCATCGATGGTCGCACTATTCATCCTATGCTTGGTGTGTGTTGCCAATTTTGCAGAAAAAAAGGTAGTAGCTCAGCAGAATGGGGTGTGGTGTGGCTGGAGTATTGCCAGATTATTTGCTTGCACCCAAATAATCATTGTTGCCTGTACCCTGCATGCCACTTGCATCTCACGAAAGTCTCAGAATAGCACTTAGAGAAATGTTGTACCCTATACTCCGTAAATCCTTGTAGCCTAACATATCTAACAAAATATATACCGGTAAATAACATTTGACAGAAAACCCGATTGTGAGATAGACAGACAGCACCAGCGTGCAGCAGTAAACATATCAGAGCTCGCTGGTATCTTCAAAGTTAAGTGACTTGAGACCTGTCACAGAAAATGTGACAAATGTTAAAAAAAATCAATGCACAGCCCAACATACGGAAAAAGAGGCAGAAATTGGTAATGCAGGACACGAAGCCAACGTCCAGGCCCTTGACTTACTTGGAGGTGGCTTCCAGTCTGGGAACAGAAGGTTTATTTCATGAAGAGCATCAGCAACAGATGCAGAGCCATGCACTGCGTTTTGTAGCACATCCGTGCCATACTTGGCACGTAAGCTGGCGTAGGGGCGATCACCGAAGGGGAAGATAAGATGGCAGGGTCGATTCACCAAAACTGAGGGAGAAAAAGTTTATAAGCCAAACAATTGTGGCCGGTGGGACTTGACATTCAGCTTGCAAGTTCTGAAGGTTTAAATTCTACCTGTTAGGGTGAGCAGCACGGGCTGTCTTGGGATCGGTGGGGCCGATGAGCTCTCGGAAGGCTGACGGTGCATTCTCATGTTGAAGCACCAATGCTGTCACTGGCGCACTGCAGACAATGCTCTCGAAAACGATTGGGATAACGGGCGGTTGAAAGAAGACTGATGGAGCAAGAACGCAAGTGGTTACAACAGGTGTGGTAGGGGAAGACGAGAAGAGAGACGGAGAGAATGGCTTACCTTAACATGAAGTTGATCAGACCCTGATAAAACGTCTTTCCCTTGTGCTCTGCATAGAATGTCTCTGCTAAAGGCTCGTCAAAGAAGAAGTGTTTCTCATGCACGACATGGAATCCGGCTGCTCGGATGTCATTGGACAAGCCCGTCCAGAAGTTACTCCCCATGATGTCGGGCTTCAGAATGGCGAGCGTTAGGTCATCTCTCCCTTCTGCACACGGTGAATACGGCGAATCAGAAGATAGAGGAAATTGTGCTGGGAACGTGGTCCATGATTGCTACCTCGAGACTGCACGGCTGGTGAAGATCATGAATGACATTGAGAAGTGGGAATGTACGAGCAAAGGATCGGAAAGATAACGAGAAGATACGTGAAAAGGGTGGTGGTCGAGCTCGGTTTGACTTGCGGTTGGCTCGAACAGCTGGTTCATGCCGGAATCTGTCAGGCAGAAGGAGGAAACTTTCCGAACTCATGAGCATACCTAATGCGGCTGAAGCTCCGCAGCTCAGAAAAGCGAGAGCCCAGAGGACATGAAGAACGGTTGTGGTAATGCTCCTCATGGCGAAGCACCAAAATCGTTTTGGGATGTTGAATGAGAAGGAACCGTTTTGTCAGTGCTCGATGAAAAGTACACGTTGGCCTTGTAAGGGGATTGGTGTTGTGGTATTTGTTCTTCGGTTTCTCAGGGTCTGGCACAAGCTCTCAGACAATTGCGAACTGTTGCGACATTCGGGTACCAACATTTCCGATTTTTCGCCACAGCTTGGGTCAACTTCTCGCCATTTTCAGCATGGGAGCAGCTAGTTTTGCAGGAACCTCAGACTTCCAAAAGCCGCTCCTTATTCGGAACCACGGTCTCAAGACCAGATATTCCTGTCCAAAAGCTTAACATTCGAAAGTTGGTGCACGTTTGAAGGGGTATTTTACGCGTTCGCGTTGTTATGAATGTTCCGGGGGCATGGACTGAGCTCGCGTGCACGTCGCTAGTCCCAAATCACACCCGAGTTTCCTGAAAGCGACGAGTAAAATACTTCGTTTGAATTGAATCGAGGTACCGCGACATGGCGAATTTAGTGCTGTTTCCCGGGCTCCTCGTCGACATCGTCGATGAGGAATGGATGAGCGAGACGCTTCCCGACGACGGTGAGAGCTTAAGTAGATCACTTCAGATTGATTTGAATTGTGTGTCATTCCCCACCGAAGCCGTAGGGAGGTATCGTGCGTTACCCTCATTGGTAAATCCCAGATTCTTCGCTTACTCTCTGTCTGCTTGCATCTCTTCTGCATGTCCTGCGATTTGGGGTATCTTTATGATCAGATGTGATGCTACCTGTCGGTCCTGCACCTGCATCAGAAGAGGCTGACGATCTTGGTAAGCACTCCTCTCACCAGGGAGCTTTTGGTTTATATTTTTTCAGCCTTTGCCATCCTGTGTCATTCCTTCACTTAGGTTCTTGTTTCAGTGTGAGATGTGAAGGAGAGGCCATGATCATAATGTTCCTAAAGGAGGCTTGGCGGAAGTTGTGTTCCTTCAGGAGAATTCATCATGATTCATGGCCTCTGCGAAACAAGCACCAAGCCATCCTGCACTTGATCCTTCTGTTGCTTTTGTTCTGCCCGTTGCTGTTTGTTGTTCATCCAGGGAATGAGGTGCCTCAGGAGGATCCAAACAAATGGACAGACCTTGCTTTAGACACGATAAAATAGTTGTTATTGAACTACAACTGGCTGGGCTGTAAGAGAGGTTCATCTCAAAGGTACCATACATCTACTATGAGCATATGTGTTGGTCTCATCTCAGCTCATGAATCATGTTGAATACTCCTGAAGAAGGCTTGATGGAAGTTGTGACCCTCCTGCCAGCTAGTAATGCACCAGCTGACAAGAGTGGCTACATAATTGGTTACAAGATGGGAATTCCATGCCAAGCATGAGGATGCTGGAACAATTGTCAACAGTGGCTGCGCGTGCAAGCAGCAGCAACTAGATAGGGATGCCGAGACGAGCCACATGCACAGTTGTCTTGTTGATGGCATGCAGCTGTCGTTGAGCATCTCGGGTCGCCATAGCCAGCTGAAGCAGACAGCGTGGGGAGGGGAGGAGGGAAGGGAGGAAGAGGAAGTGGTGCCGGAGAAAGTGTTGGAAGGATGTTGGACCTAGAGTCCTGCAGGAATGGCTGAAAGGAATGTTGGAAGTTGGAACAAATGTGCTGCTAAGAGTGCAGAGAAGAATGTAAGAAGCAGGGTGATGAACAGGATGCTGAGAGTCTGAGACACGCTTATGGCACATACAGACCACATTGAGGGATGCTCAAGACCAAATCAGAGGCAAGGAACGTCAGCACCAATTACCACAAGGCATACCTCTGATCTCAACCGAACGCTATCTCTCGCAGGCAGGTCTTTTAGAAGCTCTCGAAGCCCTGGTGAAGGGAAAACGAGAAAGGGAGGAAGCGAACAAGGATGGAAGCCACGCCACTTAAAGGCTTGCTTCAAAGCACACCGCTGCTTGTAAGCAAGCTGTTAAACTGATACTGAACACATAAGGGAATTGCATTGCACAGAAGCTGTGTGTGACAGGTGGCATGCAGCAACTCACCCAGAGACTTTTTCTCTGCTGCCCGTACAGACCCTGCCAGCCGTTGCATCTCAGCCCCTGCAGCCCTGCGGTCAGAAAGTAAAATTACGTGGTGAATGAAAGGAACGCAGTGCAACAATGTGAGTTTTGAGTTGGCTCAAATGTCGCCATTGCATCCCAGGCCCTGCAGTCCTGGGGTAAGTCAAAGGACCTGCTGGCGGTAAAAGATATGGTATTTAGCATGTGAAATATGTACGGGGTGTGTGGAGGTGAAGCAGGTAAAAAAACAAACGAAGCATGTGATGTCATGACGATGAACAGATGACGCAGGAGGCTGTCACCAGCAAATGTGAAGGCATTAACGAGCTCACTTCAGCTTGTCTCGGCCTGACAGAAACTCTGACTCCGCCATTTGAGCCCGTTCCTGCATGTCCACATTCAACGAATTTGACATCGTCAAGGTGAAGCCATTAGAGTAGGCAAACCGTGCTGGTCAATTAATTACGTATATTATCATTGCAATGCAATCTAAATGGAGCTTCAGCAAATGGTACAAGCGAAGGAAAGGAAGTTGGAATATGTTTGCCTGCTCTCACTCATCTCACTCACCTGCAACTTCTTGGTGTCGTTCTTAAAGACCTCCACTGACTGCTTCAGACCCTCCAGCTTGCGCTCTGCTGACTCCACCAGAACCTGCAGCATTAGAGGTGGAAAAAGGGAAGTGTGAAAAGGAAAGGGGCATCTGTTGTGCAGGGAAACGGACAATCGAGTGGCATGCAGCCTTGCATCTGTGCACACGCGCTTACCTCTGGGGTTTGAAACCGACCAAACGTTGCTCGATACAGCATCTTGCGGGGCCCTGCACGGGATGATGAAGGGAGATTCCGAGGAAGAGTGAAACGGGGGGCAGGGAGGGAATGTGGGAGAGGCGGGGAGCAACAGAAAAGCATAAAAAGAGAAGGGGGGGGTGTTTTGGCCACAAAGGACCTAGGCAGACTCGTTGAATCGTATAACTGTTTCCCTGAAACTGGTATTTCGGTAGAAAAAAACAAACAAGCCTGAAAAAGTAGCAAATGACAAACCTGGAAGAATGAAGGCGAGAACCGAGAGCAGCGCTGCAGACGAGGCAATGCGATGCTCTGAGGCCAGATAGACTCCCACTGGAGAGAAGCAAGAGGAGAGTGAAGATGGGAGGTCACAAGTGTGAAACAGGAGTTGGGACAAGCTAGATCAGCAGAACGAAGGTGAGGCAACGTGATGCTCTGAGACCAGTCAGACTCTCACTGGAGAGAAGGAAGAACGGAGTCATGATAGGGATGTAAGAGGTTGGAAAACGCAGTTGAGTTTGGAAAACGCAGTTGAGAAGAGCCGGATGGGCGAACCGGGGGCAGAGAGGAAGCAACCCATACTCATTCTGTGTGTGCACCTCACTTCTGAGTAATCTTAAACAAAACTCCTCTCCTACTGCGTGCACATACACGCCTCCTTCACTTGTAACTCCCAGTGTATCAGGTACACGCCTCACTCACTCTATCACTCACTCTTGATGTGGTGGAAGAAGAAAACGTCCTCGTACTGTGTGTACACCTCACGTCACGTAGGAGCATTCTTTACGCTCGGATCTGATATGCTTCATGTACACACACACAAGCCTCACTCACTCTTGAGGTGTTTTGAGCCGACTCACGTCACGTAGCTTTACACTCGAATCTGATATGCTTCATGTACACACACACACGCCTCACTCACTCTTGAGGTGGTGGAAGAAAACATCCTCGTACTGTGCGTACGCCTCACGCACAAGCACTCTTTGCGCAGTTCAAATATGCTTCCTCCTCCACTCACTCTTGAGGTGGTGGAAGAAAATATCCTCGTATTGCGTGTACACTTCACTCATTCATTCACTCACTCACCCCCTCCCTCACTCATTCACTCACTCTTGAGGTGGTGGAAGAAAACGTCCTCGTATTGCGTGTAAACCTCACGAGCCACCTCGAGTGACGCCTGCAGGAACAGAGCGACGATCGTAACAGAGAGAAGATGGGGAAAGGAGTAAGGAAAACAACAGCAACAAGAAAAGGGCGGAGATGGGAAACGAGCAATGATCTCCTTCTCAAGCAAATCAGAAATGCTTACTCGGAATATATTTTGAGAAATTTCAAGAGAGTTTTCAAGTATGAAGGATCTCCTTTCTCTAAAAAAAATGAACTGCTTACTCCTGCACCTCCAACTGCGCCTCCACCTGCACCTCCACCTGCCACCCACCTTAGCTTCCTGCAGGTGCTGCGGCTTCCATGACCGCCATCTGCTGCCGCGCGGCCGCGGTGTCTCCCGAATGGCGGCGGAGGTCTGCTCCAATTTATACGCGTTATAATTTACCTACCTTCGCTTCCAGCAGCTGCTCCGACGCTGCAGCTTCCATGACCGCCATCTGCTGCCGCGCGGCCGCCGTCGTTTCGCGAATGGCGACCGATGCCTGCTCCTGCGCCTGCTGCAGCTGCTCGTTGCCCTCAGTCACCATCGCCATCACCTTCCGCACCTCATCCATTACCGACGGCGACCCCATGACCGATCTGATCCGATCTCTTAACGCACTGCTAAATCCGCGCTATAAGGTGCTTCTACAAGGCTTTGCTGGACAGTAATGTCTCGCTTTTTGAGTCGCCGCGAGGGTTGGTTTTTAACGTTCTAATATTGCGTAGCCCGTTTAGGAGCAAATGGCAGACTGGGTAATATGTACTAGCTGATCCGCGTTGTAGTTCCGCTGGGATGTCTCGTAAGAGTGCTAATACAAGGAGATGGAAGAGTGCGGATCGCGACACGATGTGGAGAGGAAGATTAAGGGTGGCGAAGGTGATGGCGAGAGGTAATGGAGGGTGCGATTAGGGAGGTAATGTAGTGACGGAGAGCACCAGAAAGACACCAGAATGACAGACACCATAAAGAGGTGTCCGTTGTAGTTCTTTTATAGCTCGGTAAAAAACGGTGTAGTACGGTTGCACGGTGCAGACCTTGTCATGCGACCGTCGGCTTTAGCGTACCCACTAGAAGCTTAGAGCAACCTTCGAGAAGTCAAGAGATTGTTGGTACACGTACGGGAGTGAATAGCAAAATTTCATTTCAGTAAGAAAATGCACTTTCGCGTTATGATGTCCGTAACAAGTCGTGAAATGCCTCTTGGGGAAGAGAAACGGAGCCAACTCGCTTCATTCGCTTCTTCCCTTCCTTCTGCTTCTCCAGTAGCTTCCGTTTGCGAGAAACATCCCCTCCGTAACACTTGGCAAGCACGTTTTTACGCATAGCTGAAAGCCTGTTCAGGGGGGGAATGAAAGTTGAAAGTGGTCGTATAATTGGAGGATGAGGTGGCACGATACACGGTATGCCTACAGGATGGGCGAAGGATTGTAGTTATACAGGGATGGTTGTGCAACGGTGTCTGAATCAAAATTGCGGGAAGTGAACAGTCACACTTGCAATCCCACTCACTTTTCACTCGCAATCACTTTGGCGCTGATAGCAGCTTGGATGACCACCTCAAACATTTGCCTGCATGCACCCACCAGTTCCCAATGCACACATGTATGCGTACGCACACAATCAGAGCAGGGTAGGAGTTGGAGAATGTGTAGAGCGTTTTTTTTTTTTTTTTTTTTTTTTGTAAAGCAAGATTGCAACAAGACGTTTGCATATCTACGTCGACAAGCCACAAATCAGCAATATTTTGAGGAGCAATCTTCACCACATGCTGTGCCGCCTCCCTGTAGGCAGTGGCTGCCAGTACCCCAACTACCCCTTCAAAACCCTTTCAACCGTTTTAAACCCACCTGTCTAAGACCCCTTTGAGCCGCTCCACGAGTTTCCTCCCCATGCGCTGCGCTGCCTCCCTGTGAGCAATGGCTGCCAGTGCGTCCACTAACCCTTCAAAATCCTCTCACCTGCCAATATCCTAGATTACCGTTTCAAACCCACCTGTCAAGCACCCCTTTCAGCCGCTCCACCAGTTTCCTCCCCATGCGCTGCGCTGCCTCCCTGTGGGCGATGGCTGCCAACGCATCTACTGGCTTGCCGTTCAGCAGCACATCCACCTTCACCAGATCCGCCTCCCTCATGCTGGGACAAACGGAATAAGGGTGGCAATGGGAAGGAATCAGTTGATCTGAAATTCGGTCAGCAGCACATCCACCTTCACCAGGTCCGCCTCCCTAATGCTGGGAGGAAATGGAGGCCGGGAGACAGGAGGGGGGTGGTGAAGGAAGGGTATATGATGGCTTTCAATGGAAAGGAAAGTCGTTCAGCGGCACATCCACCTTCACCAGAACTGCCTCCCTCATGCTGGGACAAACGGAAGAAGGGTGGCAAAACAGAGGGGAAAAGGATGGGAGGAAAGAAGCGGGTTGCGTTTCGGGGTAAAGAAAACCATTGACGAAAATGTGCAGGAAGCTTTTCAATTTCTCTCGAATCGTTTAGTAGCAAATGCCACTGTCACCAGACCCCACCCCCACCAGGTCCCACCCCCACCAGGTCCCACCTCCACCAGATCCCACCTCCACCAGATCTCACCTCAACCAGACCCCACCTCCACCAGATCCCACCTCCACCAGATCCCACCTGAACCAGATCCCACCTCCACCAGATCCATGTCTCACCCTGCATCTTCATAGTCGAACGTGGCGAATCCCGAGGAGATGCTCTTGAGGTGGCTGTAGAAATCCATCACCACCTCCCTCACTGGCATGTCGTACCTCAGCATGGCTCGGTCACTGCGATGGGGGTGTGAGAACCAGCAATGAGTGCGAGGAGACAGGACAGGAGCAAGCGATGTTGGGTGGGGTGTGGGGGAAAATGGTGCTCTTGAGGTGGCTGTAGAAATACATCACCACCTCTCTCACTGGCATGTCGTATCGCAGCATGGCCCGGTCGCTGCAAGCAAGGGGGTGTGAGCCAACACCGAGATTGCGGACACAGGAGCAAGCAATGTTGGTTGGGGTGTAGGGAAACGAAGTGCTCTTGAGGTGGCTGTAGAAAGAAATACATCACCACCTCCCTCCCTGGCATGTCGTATCGCAGCATGGCCCAGTCGCTGCAAGGGAGGGTGACAGGGTGAGCGGCACATGTTTGCTGGGGAAGATAGGCTCTTGCCTTGCGCAACTCAACACCTGGAAAACACTGGCTACCCTCTTGCCCATAAGCATCAAACCTCTGGCAGTCACAGCCACAGCCACAACCATGCAAAAACGAATAAGCTCACCCATCGATAAATGAGTACTCCTTCTGCTCGCCCCTCCTGCTCGCACAGAGGTCCATGATTGGCCCCACGTACCTGTGTGGTGGGGGGGTGGGGAGGAGGTGCGATGGGGAGATTGGGTAAGGCGAGCACAAAGGGCTCGGTGCAGCGAATCACTCGCCGATTGAGGATGGATGGGATGGCAAGCAGAGCTGGATGGATACAAGCGGCGACTTTTGAGTCGACTCAAAGATACAAGCGGCGAAATGGGTGAGAAAGCTTGCCAAAGCTTGATGGAGGGAGGGGGGTGCTTTGATGCACTCACTTGGAAGGGGTGACTATGGTGGACAGCACGAAGGGCTCGGTGCAGCGAACCACTCTCTGCTTGGGCACGGATGGGATGTCTGATGGGCCCTGGGCCTCGATCCGACTGGATGGAAGGGAAGAAGGGAGAGAGCGAGGGTGGAGGGGTGGGAGTGAGGTCAACGAGGCAGTGACCACTCGCTGCTTTGGGATGGATGGGATGTCTGATGGGCCCTGGGCCTCTATGCGGCTGGATTGAGGGGAGGAAGGGAGAGGGAGAGGACGGAGGGGGAGTGGGGGGAATGCACAGAAAGAGGGAGGAGGGATCAAGTGAGACAAGCGATGGGTGGAATGTGCGAAGGAGGGGATTTTCTGGATTTTACTCGAGGGAGGGTTTCATATTTTTCTTAGTGACTATCGTCTCTTTGGAAACTCGACCCATCCTACTGCTTCCCTTCTGCATGAGCAACGATCCATGGGTGGAATGTGTGAAGGAGGGGACTTTGAGACGATGCAAAGTCATCTGTGCAAAGGAAAGAGGGAGATGTGGTGGCGCGGCATAGGATGGTATCATTAGCATATGGCATGGGCACGCCCCACTGACTGACTCACGTGCCGTCAGCGTATTCAAAGATCACAGGCACGGAGGGAGTCGTGGAAATGACCTCCGCGCCAAACTCAAACAATGCACACCGACCGGCTCACATGTCATGAGCATGTCATGAGCATGTCATATGCATGTCATGTGCATGTCATGTGCATGTCATGTGCATGTCATGAGCATATGTGCATGTCATGAGCATGTCATGTGCATGTCATGTGCATGTCTTCGCACTGCATGACATGTCATGTGCATGTCATGTGCATGTCTTCGCACTGCATGACATGTCATGGCACATCAACTCACGTGCCATCAGCGTATTCAAAGATTGCAGGCACTGAAGGAGCCGTGGAGATGACCTCAGCGCCAAACTCCTGCTGCAGCCGCTGGTGAAACACGTCCATGTGTAGCAGACCCAGGAAGCCGCACCTGAGGAGGAGGAGGAAAGCAAACAAATAGTCATCATTTAGTGTTCTGTTCTCTAAGTGAACTCCTGCTGCAGCCGCTGGTGAAACACGTCCATGTGGAGCAGACCCAGGAAGCCGCACCTGAGGAGGAGGAGGAAAGCAAACAAATAGTCATCATATAGTGTTCTGTTCTCTAAGTGAACTCCTGCTGCAGCCGCTGGTGAAACACGTCCTTGTGTAGCAGACCCAGGAAGCCGCACCTGCAAGCAAGGCAGTGATTGGTGAGATAACGTATTCTTTGCACAAAAGTGACAGTGGTGAGGATCAAGTTGACTTTTGACTCGACTCAAAAGTCAACAAGCAAGACAGTGATTGGTGAGATAACGTATGTTTTTGCACAAGAGTGACAGTGGTAAGGAACAAGTTTTCGGACGATTCAAAGCACGCCCTGTAACTCACACCTGAATCCAGCCCCCAGGGCGGCAGTGCTGTAGCTGGTAACCGCCACGCTGGCATCGTTGCACACCAGCTTGTCAACTGCCTTAGGCAGCACCTTTTCGCTGCATGCATGCACCACCATACCACATTCTGCAATCCCAATACACACCTGAATCCAGCTCCTAAAGCAGCGCTGCTGTAGCGGGTAACCGCCACGCTGGCATCGTTGCACACCAGCTTGTCAACTGCTTTAGCCAAAGCTTCAAAGTCAGACCCATCGGCCGGGAACACCCCCGCAAACACCATGTGCTGTGCCGCCCTGAAGCCCGGCAGGGGCGAGACCTGCGCCTTGTGGTGGTGAATGGTGTCGCCTACCCTTGCTTCTCGAGTTGTCCGCATGCCCAGCATCACATACCCCACCTGCTTGGGAGATGGGGTGCGGAGAGGTCTCAGCTTGGGACGGGCGAGACAAGTTCCATTGAGCAAACACCCCATGGGCATTGCTTTGGGTTACATCATCCCCACCTCCCCCAAATCATAGTGCATCCCCATTTCTGCCACCGCCACCCTCCCGCTCTCCCATACATGCACCTGCAACTCTTACAAGCCTACTTAAACTCACGTGGCAGAAATGGGGATGCACTATGATTTGGGGGAGGTGGGGATGATGTAACCCAAAGCAATGCCCATACATGCATCTGCAACTCTTACAAGCCTACTTAAACTCAATTGCCCAGTATGCAGACAGCCTGTAGGCGTAGCCTCCGGATACATGACTCCAATCTCCCCCACCCACGTCATAGCTCATCCCCATGCCTGCCACTGCCACTCACTCTCCCACCCACCCTTGCACATTCGCCCACCTGGCCAGTAAGAAGACACCGTGTAGGTGTAGCCTCCGGATACATGACTCCAATCTCCCCCACGTCATAGCTCATCCCCATCCCTGCCACTGCCACCCTCTCCCACTCCCATGCCAGCACCGGAACTCAAACAGCATTCTCATACTCACTTGACCAGTAAGCAAACAGCCAGTGGGCGTTGCTTCAGGGTACATCACCCCCACCTCCCCCACGTCGTAGCTCATCCCCATGCCTGCCACCGCCACCTTCTCCCCCTCCCTGATCGCCCCATCAACCACTGCCACGTGGCACACCACGCCCCTGTACTCGTCAAAGTGCGCGTCCAATAGCAGCGCGCGCAGCGGGGCGGCAGGGTCGCCTGGGGGAGGTGGTATCTGGCGGACGATGGCAGAGAGGAGAGAGGGCAGGCCGGCTCCTGTGCGGGCTGAGGTGAAGAGGCAGGAGGCGCGAGGCAGATCGAAGGTGGAGGCGATCTGAGAGGCGACGGCTGGTGTGGGGAAGGAGCGGGTGGAAGGGAGACGAAAAGGGTGTGTGAGAGAAAGGAGGGCAGGCCGGCTCCAGTGCTGGCCAAGGTGAAGAGGCAGGAAACGCGGGGTAAGTCGAAGGTGCTGGCGATCTGAGAGGCAACAGCTGGCAGTAGGGAAAGAGGGAAAAAAGGGGGGGAAATGGAGGGGTGGGGGTTGGAGGATTAAGCAAAGGGACAGATGAGGCTGAGGTGAAGAGGCAGGTCGAAGGTGCTGGCGATTTGAGAGGCAACGGCTGAGAGGGAAACATGGGAAATATGGGAAACATGGGAAACATGGGAAACATGGGAAACATGGGAAACATGGGAAACATGGGAAACATGGGAAACATGGGAAACATGGGATGAGAATTTCTTCCTGGCTCTCGAAGGAGACCTGGCGATCGTACCCGTGGTGAAAAAGATCGATCGGCCCGATGCCGACCCTGAAGGTGCGTCGATTTGTTAAGGCTCGTGCTGATTGGCTGGGGGTTCCGATGCTTCTGACGCTGCTGGTTGGTTCTTCTCCCGCCGCATCACTTTCGCCGCGTCTGTCCCTTGTCTTAACCCTCCGACTCCCTCCCCCATTTCCTCTCCACCTGTGCAATCAGCTGTCGCCTCCCACATCGCCTCCACCTTTGACCTACCTCTCGCCTCCTGCCTCTCCTTGCGCCTGAATGCCCTGCTGCGCGTCCACCAGCAGCAGCACGCCCTGTGTGACGACCAGCCCCTCTGGAACTAGGAGAAGCAGCAGCAGCAGCAGCAGCAGCAGCGATTCGAAGCGTAGACTCACCTTGGGGGTCGGCATCAGGCCGGTCAATCTTATTCACCACTGGCACGACCGCTAAATCCCCCTCCAGCGCCAGGAAGAAATTCGCGACGGTCTGTGCCTGAATGCCCTGCTGCGCGTCCACCAGCAGCAGCACGCCCTGTGTGGCGGCCAGCGAGCGAGACACCTCGTAGCTGAAATCCACGTGGCCGGGCGTGTCAATCAGATTCAGCAGGTACCGCCCGGGAGGGGGACCTGACTGGTCTTCAGTCAGTGTGGGTGGCACATAGTCAAAGAGCATGGTGGCGGTCTGTGCCTTCACTGTGATACCTCGCTCCCTCTCCACCTGAAGGGATGGAAGCCGGGGGGAGTGGCAGAGGGCAAGGTGGGTCAAGAGAAGGTAGAATCATAGGTATGTGTCCAAGAACTCCTTAAGATCCCTTGAAGACCACCTGAAGCTTGTCCAGGTACTGTGGCCGCCGCGCCTGCCCCTTGGTGTCGCTGGGCCTGAGCGTGCCTGTCAGCTCCACAGGCGGTTTCCAACGGTTAAATGCGCACATTTGGTATCAAATCCCCACCTGCAGCTTCTCAGGCCCACCTGCAGCTTGTCCAGATATTGTGGGCGCGCCTGTCCCTTGGTGTCGCTCGGCGTGAGCGTGCCTGTCAGCTCCAGCAGGCGGCACATGTAACATTCCTGATATTTTTCTGCTACTTAAAGCCCACCTGCAGTTTGTCGAGATACTGCGGGCGCGCCTGCCCCTTGGTATCGCTGGGCGTGAGCGTCCCTGTCAGCTCCAGCAGGCGGTCCGCCAGCGTGGATTTCCCGTGGTCCACGTGGGCCACGATGGAGAAGTTCCGGATGCGATCTGGCGGGAAGGCGGACAGGTCTATGGGGGGCTTTTCGTGCCTCGTGCTGCTACCACTCGCGCTGCTGCTGCTGCTGCTGCTGCTCGTGCTGCTGCTAGTGCTAGTGTCGCTGCTACTGCTCCTGGCGCTAATGGTGGTAGTGCCGTTGCTGCTGGGGATGTTGGCATTGCTGCTAGCGTCGCCACTGAATCTGCGAATGCCGGTACCGCTACTGCTGCCACTCCCACTGGTGCTACTGCTGCTGCTGCTGCTGCCAATTCTGCTGCTGCTGTTAATAGTTAGTCTAACTAGGCTCTCAAACACTACCGATTTGCTCCCAATACTACTTCTACCACCAAAGCCGGCGTCAATGCTACTCCCTATTCTACTTCTATCACTAATGCTAAATTGGCTACAGTAATCCCTGTCGTCGCACGAGCCTAAACTGTGCCATTCGCTAGTATCAGCCGCGATACGGTCATAGGTCAGAAGGGCTCCCTCCCGGATTTTGTGTGCTCCGAATGGCTGGAAAGGCGCGTACCGTCTGATGGCAGACTCCCCAACCGCGTGCTGCCACGTGTCATTACAAAAGATCCGGAAACGGCTTTTATCACAGATCGGAGCGGCCGACGACTCTAACGGTGGGGATTGAGTGAGAATCGGTGAGTGTAACAAATCTTTCGCGGATGACGGGATCGCGGTTGACGGACAATGTGGTGAAACAACGTCGGTTGGGGTGAAAGCGCGTGCGCAGCGGATGAAAGAGGAGCGAAGGCGCGCACCGATGGTCGAATTCGCGGCTCTTCGCGCAGCCATGACGGCAGGATGGCCGCAACAAAAACTGCTCTTCTTTAGCTGCGCATAACTCGAGAGGTGAGGATTACACTCCTGGAGAGATGAATTTGCTGTAGAGATAAATCTACATCATACTCGCTACAGAGAATGCCATTTGGTGAATGAGCGTACACTTGGTGTTTGATTTATTATGGCATTGGTGATTGGAAAGGTTCCTGGGAACAGGTCATTTCGCTGCGAAACTGACGGGGAAAAAAGTTATGGCTGTCCTTTCGCCTCGGGTTGTTGTGGTTCCACGAAACCCGAACGCGAAGAGTCCAATTGGCTGTAACGACCTTTCACTGTCGTCAAACGCACCGCGTTTCGCTCAGGTGCCACCAATCTCGAGGCGCGGTTGGGGATCCCATCGGTTACGTTTCACGTGTCCGAGTTCCTGGGGCAGCCCCAACGGCCGATACAGTTCTCGAAGTAATTCTGAGCCGTCGGATCTTGACGGGAGCCACGATGACAACACGATGCGCCAACAAAGCACGCCTGCGACTGGAGTGCTGAGTTGGTGGAGCTCAGGAGATCCCTATGCGCAGGTTCGGGCGTCCCAAAAAACCTCTGCAGAAGGCTGACCGACGTCCATCCGGCTTGGTTGCTGATGTTTTCGAGGACGCCCAAACCTGCCCAGCCCGCCTAACCAAACCTCTCTCCCCCTCCACCCTCCTTCCTCCGTCCCTCCCTCCCTCTCACCAACCAACTTTTCACCCAGAAATCTCCGAATTGGAGGGATCTTCAAATGTCAGCTAAAGCTTGAGATTGATTCTCAAGTCTAGATTTCGTCGCCTAGCTTTGCACAACAGCAAGGCTGATTATTTGTTGCTTCAGACTCAGTTAGCACACTAGCTTGGCTTGGTGAGTCGAGTTAGCTCTCCTGCCCTTCGCTCTTTGTTTCTCTCGAATTGACTCGCACGCCAAGATGGTGAAGATCTGCTGTATCGGTGCCGGCTATGTCGGCGGTCCCACCATGGCCATGATCGCCTTGAAGTGTCCCCACATCGAGGTACGCGCGACGATCGCTTTCGCAGTAGCCATTTCTACGCAGGATCCGTTGCCGATCACCCTTCCGCAGCTGCTTAAACAGCTTTTTCTGTGTCGATCGCCCGTCTGCAGCAGCGTAATCATGTCTGATTAAGAAATCCTGCTGGCTGCCATAACCCTTCAGGTGTACGTCGTCGACATTAGCAAGCCTCGCATTGCCGCTTGGAACAGCGATCGCCTCCCTATCTACGAGCCAGGCCTTGACGATGTTGTAAGTAATTACACACTGCCGGTTCTGCCCGCAAGATTTCACCTTGACATCGTGTGTAGCGTGATCGACCTTTGGTCCACTTGCCAGTTGATTTACCGACTCTGGATGCTGGATCGCAGGTCAAGGAGTGCCGAGGGAGGAATTTGTTTTTCAGCACGGAGGTCCAGAAGTATGTGGCTCTCTGCGATATCATCTTTGTCAGCGTCAACACTCCCACAAAGACCAGGGTACGTGCAACGGGTCTTTCGGTGCTTACTTCTTGGTTATAGATCCTCGCTTTCCTCGTTTTGCATTGAGGATATTATTTTGTCGTTTTCTCACGTACGTAATTGGTGGTTACAGGGTCTAGGAGCCGGAAAGGCCGCCGATTTGACATACTGGGAGAGCGCTGCCCGCATGATTGCAGATGTTTCAAACTCTCCCAAGATTGTACGTCTCCGGGAGGGGAAAACATGAATTGCTGTTCTACGCTTCGTCTGGTCAAGAAAGATTCTGCACGAAGTGGTTCGTTAACTAAAAATGTTTCTCCCCGCGTGAATCTCAGGTTGTGGAGAAGTCAACAGTCCCTGTGAAGACCGCAGAAGCCATTGAGAAGATTTTGACACACACCAAGAGTGGTGTCCAATTTGATGTGAGCCAATATTTTCTCCAATTTCTGTGAGGTTGTGATTAACGAGCCATCGGGAATCGTTTCTGATGCGTGAGAATCCTTCGTGACCATTCGTATTGAAATGGGCAGATCCTGTCAAACCCAGAGTTCCTTGCTGAAGGAACCGCCATGGATGATCTGCAGAAGCCTGACCGCGTCCTTATCGGTAAGCAGTTCCTTCCCGCGCCATTTAGTTTTAAGGCACTGTAACCTTCAAGATTTCGTCCATCAAATGCCGCGAAACGAATTCTAGATCACGAACATAAGTTACAAAAAAAAAAAAAAAAAAATGACCCCCCCCCCCCAAAGGAACAGCACTGATTCTTTTGCAACTTGCTTCGTTTTCTCCCACAGGTGGTCAGGAGACGGATTCCGGTCGCAAGGCCATGGCTACGCTGAAGTCAGTATACGCCAACTGGGTGCCCGACGAGAACATTCTCACCACCAACCTCTGGTCCGCGGAGCTGTCGAAACTCGCAGCCAACGCGTTTCTGGCGCAAAGAATTTCCTCCATCAACGCTATCTCTGCCCTGTGCGAGGTATGCGCCGCTACAAGCTGGCTTCGTTACGACACCCGTGGCTCGTCATTTGTTCCTGCTACAACCACTCGTTTCGTGGCGCTGTCTCTACAGTGCTGTTTCGTAGCATTTACTCCATCTCATACCCTTACATCTTCTTGCTGAGTGCAGTCAACGGGTGCCAACGTGTCCGAAGTGGCCTTCGCTATCGGCAAGGACACTCGCATTGGCAGGCGCTTCCTCCAATCCAGCGTTGGCTTTGGCGGCTCCTGCTTTCAGAAGGTAAGCGCTCTAATTGTAACTACAGAGAGTAATCGCTCTTATTGTAACTCACCGGTAATACTTGTGCCTGCCAGTCGGTGGTGTTATTGCCCCCAAGTGTCTTACGATTCGTTTTATTTGGTTTTTTCGTTTTCTTTTCTTTCTCTTTGTTGCCGTGTTTCAGGATATTCTGAACCTGGTGTACATCTGCGAGTGCAATGGGCTCTTGGAGTGCGCCAAGTACTGGCAGCAGGTGATCGACATCAACGACTACCAGAAGAACCGCTTCGTCAAGGTGCGTTGCAACATTCCACTAAGACATGGAACCCTGCACCTTGTCTCGTATCCTGCTACATGCTGTTGGGGCAGGGCATGCAGATCTTTCCCTGGTAGTCGAAGTATAACTTACATGTCGATAATTATCGACTACTGTGATGTCCCAAGTGCATGATCGTGTCGTCCATGTTAAACACGGTGTCGGGCAAGAAGGTCGCAATCTTCATGTGCTGTGAACATTCCCTGATGCTCAAATTGTGAATCCCCTGTGCAGAGGATCGTGTCGTCCACGTTCAAGACGGTGTCCGGCAAGAAGATCGCCATCTCACCTCATACGAACTTCTTTGTCATATTCCGCGCCCTGTGCAGAGGATCGTGTCGTCCATGTTCAAGACGGTGTCCGGCAAGAAGATCGCCATCTGACCTCATACGAACTTCTTTGTCATATTCCGCGCCCTGTGCAGAGGATCGTGTCGTCCATGTTCAACACGGTGTCCGGCAAGAAGATCGCCATCTTCGGGTTTGCCTTCAAGAAGGACACTGGCGACACTCGCGAGACGCCCGCCATCGACGTGTGCCACGGGCTGCTCAACGACCGCGCGTACCTCCACATCTACGACCCCGAAGTCACGTACGTATTGAGCTGACAAGTGTGGGGTGTGTGAAAGGATTCTTTCAAGTAATTTACGTACCAATGGATTGTGGAGGGATGCCGGAAGTCACGTACTTTTGAGGCTGCCTCAGAAAGGCATCGACTTGTGCCACGGGCTACTCAACGACCGCGCGTACCTCCACATCTATGACCCCGAAGTCACGTACAGTGAGTTGAGAGGAGGGCCGGAGTCACGGATGCTTGAAGTCACGTCTGTACCGAGTTTAGAGGGCTGGTGTCACGTACGCCAGAGGGTCATGTTCATACTGAGCTGTCGAGGCAATTGTTGGGTGGGCCGGAGTCACATCCGCCTTTAAATCAACCACCCCCACCCATCAGTCAGCATCACCCCACCCCCAGTCAATGTCACCCCCACCCCCAGTCAATGTCACCCCCACCCCCAGTCAATGTCACCCCCACCCCAAGTCAATATCACCCCCGCCCCCAGTCAGCCCCACCCCCAGTCAGCATCCCCCACTCATCGCAGTCAACGCCACCCTCACCCCTCAGTCAACGCCACCCTCACCCCTCAGTCAACGTCCCCTCCACAACTCTGCCAGCGTCCCCTCCACCCCTCAGTCAACGACCCCTCCACGTTTTAGTCGACCTCCCCTCCACCCTTCAGCCACCGCCCTCAGTCAACGGCAACCGCCCTCAGTCAACAGATCGCCCTCAGTCAACAGACCGCCCTCAGTCAACAGACCGCCCTCAGTCAACAGGCCGCCCTCAGTCAACAGACCGCCCTCAGTCAACAGACCGCCCTCAGTCAACAGACCGCCCTCAGTCAACAGACCGCCCTCAGTCAACAGACCGCCCTCAGTCAACAGACCGCCCTCAGTCAACAGACCGCCCTCAGTCAACAGACCGCCCTCAGTCAACAGACCGCCCTCAGTCAACAGACCGCCCTCAGTCAACAGCCACCGCCCTCAGTCAACAGACCTCCCTCAGTCAACAGCCACCGCCCTCAGTCAACAGCCACCGCCCTCAGTCAACAGCCACCGCCCTCAGTCAACAGCCACCGCCCTCAGTCTGCTGTTCTGGGTATAGCAGGGTTTGGGGACAGGGTTTATCAACATCCGGCTGTTTCTTTTGTGTCAATCCCCACCCCCTTTCCCCACACCTTCAACAAGCCCTCTTACTTACCTCCTTCGAAATCACCTTCCCGCTTCAGTGAGGAGCAGATTTGGTGGGATCTGGGCACGGGCAAGTTTGAGTGGGACCACCCACTCCCGATGCAGTTGCCCACCTCCGTGGACGCGTCCTCACCATCCTTTCCTAACCCCTCTCAACCCCTCCCAACCCCTTTCAGTGAGGAGCAGATTCGGAGGGACCTGGGCACGGGCAAGTTTGAGTGGGACCACCCACTCCCAATGCAGTCGCCCACCTCAATGGACGCATCTTCCCGCGTCACAGTCGACGCATCTCCCTACGAGGCGGCCAAGGATGCGTCATGCATTGCAGTGGTCACCGAGTGGGACGAGTTCAAGACTCTGGATTACCAGAAGCTGTACGACGGCATGCAAAAGCCCGCGTTTATCTTTGACGGGAGGAACGTTCTGGATGTGGAGGCGCTGAGGAAGATTGGGTTTATTGTGTACTCGATTGGCAAGCCACTTGATCCCTGGGTGAAAGACCTGGCTATCTCTATCTAGATACAGGGGGCTGTTAATAGATCAAATTGTACTGTTCATCATCATACAGGAGGTAGAGAGACTGCGACTGCTTGGGTCATGGAGGTATATGGTATGGGTGCGCCCCATATTACACTTCTGGGATTGTACAACTTGTGCCTTTTGGGACACTTTGTCATACCGCAATGGCTTTCTGTTTTATTAACATGAAGGGATTCAAAGTCACGTGTTAGCAAAAAGAGTTAGTGCGTGGGCATGCAACACTTATCTAGGCTGTTGGTAATGAGTGATCCATTCAACCACTTGGAGAGGCAGCCTCGACACATTACCATTATTCAGTCCGAATCCTTTCTAACTGTTACAAGCACCACCCGCTGTCTAGGTGCTACTACCTTAGCAGCCTGCTTCAGGTTCACTCTGGTGCAGCCAGAAACGTCCAACAGTTGAAGCTTCTTGCATGCCTTCACTGCACTGCTTACACTTGCCTCAGTAACCTGCCAGTGGTAGCACAGACACAGACCAGTTGAGGGGGGGCAGCAGGGGCAGGCTTTCGAGGCACCTCAAAATACGCTCCTTGCATGTCTTGACTGCGCTGCTTACACCTGCCTCACTAACCTGCCAGATGTACGCAGACCAGTTTGAGCAAAATCAGTTCGTAGAGAAGAGTAAGGACTTTTGAGACATCTCAAATAATTGATAACACTTGCCTTGGTAACTTGCCAGTGGCACAGACACCAGTTAAGCAGAATTAGGGTTTTGGGTTTAGGGTGGGAGAGAAAGAGCAGAGCCGAAGATTGACCTCGATAGTGTAGCTTATTTACCTGTATGCAAGCACGCAGCAGCAGCCGGAGGAGGTTGGGGCAGGCAGCGGCTATGCAGGCCATGCTCGGGTCAGAGAGCAAGCAGCTAGAGATAGAGAGTGCCTTGAGTGAGAGAGGAAGCAAGAAGGGTTTGCCACTTATCTGTGGCGAACAGAAAGGTTGATAATGCCACTTACCTGCAGCCAGTGAAAGAGCAGCGTACCTGTATGCAATGGAGCACCAGCAGCCAGATGAGGTTGGGGCAGGCAGTGACTATGCAAGCAACGCCCGGGTCAGCGAGAGAACAGCTGGTGATAGAGAGTGCCTTGAGGGAGAGGAAGCGGTAGGGTTACCTGTGGAGAAATTATTCGAAGGTTGGTAGTGGCACTTTCCTGTAGCTAGTGAAAGAGCAGCGTACCTGTAGACAATCACGCAGCAGCAATCGGAGGAGGTTGGGGCAGGCAGCGGTTATGCAGGCAACTCCCGGGTCAGTGAGAGAAGAGCTGGTGATAGAGAGGACCTTGAGGGAGAGGAAGCGGTAGGGAGGCTTGGAGGGAAGAGGAGAGGAGGATGGGGAGGAGGACGACGGGGAGGAGGATGGGGAGGAATTGTTATCGCGTAGAGGGGATAGGGAGGAGGAGGTGGGCGGACCACGATTGGGAACAGGAGAGGAGGATGTCGGATTGTGATCAGGAAGAGCGGGTAATGGGGAAGTGGAAGCAGGTGCAGTGGGGGAGTGGGAGGAGAGACCGGTGCCGAGAAGGTAGTCTGAAAAGAGGTGGAGCTCTGAGAGTGACGGACAGCTGGCGGCCAGTGATTGGAGCGAAGCGTCTGTCACGGTGCAGTCGATCTAAGGTGCGGGGGAGAGCGGGGGTGGAGGAGGGAGGGCAACGGGAACAAAATAGGAGTGCAGATGTGGGGAAGTTAGGTGAGGGGGCGGGGAGGGATGTATTGCAGAGGAAATGGTTGTAAATGGCAACTTGTTGAAGGATTGGGAGAAGCGGGAAGAAAGACTGGAGAATAACATGAGAAAAACTGTCAGACTGCAGGTGTATGGGGGGGGGGGGACACAAACTCCCACGAGCTTGGAACCTTCCGAGAAGCCTGCAAGTAGAGCCACTCACATCCAGCGCGCCGGCGACTTGGAACATTCCGAGAATCTTCGCGTAGCGCTTCTTAGAACCGGGGTCGAAGCGGAGAGACGTGAGGCTGGGGCAGGCGGAAGCAATGGCGGAGATTACTGTGTCTGACATTCCGAAGCAGGGCAGCACGAGGGACTCGAGCGGTGGTGCGTGGTTGGGGGTTCTGGGAGGAGTGTGAGCAGAGGCGGTGGCGGCGGTGGCAGAAGAGAGAGCTGTGGGGGCAGTGGGAGGAGGAGGAGTAGCAGGAAGGGGAGCCGGAGAAGCAGTGTCAGTATCTCTGGGAGCAGCAGCAGCTGCTGCTACCGGTGCTGGTGCTGCTGCCGAGACCAACGAAGCAGCAGCATCACTAGCACCACCACTACCAGCACCGTTCCTAGCAGCAGCACTGCCACCAGCACAGCCAACCCCAGCACTGGAGGGTCCTCCTCCAGCCCGTGGGGGCCCTTCATGCGGCTTGGTGCGAGGAGAGGCAAGGGCTGCGAGGCGGGAGAAGATGCCGGGGCTTCTGGGCGTCAGGATGCGTCTGTGAGCTGAGGGAGAGGGTGTGCTGGTGGGTGGGCCAGGGAGGGCGTTGACGGCGCTGCTGCTGCTGCTCGTGGTGAGTTGTGTGGTGGTGGTGGTGGTGGTGGAGGGAGTGGGGGAGAGGAGGATGCGTGATGTGGTGCCAAAGTTGATGCGGCAGAGAGTGGGACAGGCGAGAGCGAGACTGCAAGGGTATGGAGAGGGGAGGGGAAAGCGAGCAGGGGGAGAGGGGAGAGCAGGGGTCGGGAGAGCAAGACAAAAAAGCCTCCTGTATCAATTAGTCGACTCTAAATAGACCTGGATTCGTGACACTAGAGGATTTTTTAGGCGCCTAAAAAATCACCTCACTGCTCGCAGCTCTAAAGGATCCGCATCACAATACACGCGTCTCCAGCTGCATCACTTCATACGTTCTGGTAGAATTATATGCATAGTGGGCGCTTCAATCTACATAGCTTTGAGTAGTCTCATCTCAAAAGGTGCTCACCTTTCGATCCACGTGGCACGGATGGTTTGGTTGGCCTGGAAGTAGGCAGTGAGCGTCCGAAGAGAGGGTAGCAGGTGACCAGACGAAGCTGCTCCAGCAGCAGCAGCAGCAGCAGCAGCAGCGGTAGCAGCAGCAGGGGTACAAGCAGTCGAAGCAACAGCAGGAGCGGAAGCAGAGCAAGGAAAACCAGCAAGGGGAGTAGTCCCTGCCGCTGCCCCAGGCCCTTCCTTCCCTCCACACCTATCCTTCCCTCCCGACCTCTCCTTCCCTCCACATACCCTGTCCTGTACCCCGGCCTGTAGCGATATAATTCCCTCTATCCAATCAGGGAGCAGGGGGCTTTGGCCGAGGTCGAGGGATTGCAGGGAGGGGAGGCGGGCGAGGACTGGGAGGCAGAGGGGTGGGCGGACGGCATGGCAGGCGTTGAGGCGGAGGGAGGAGAGGGCGGGGCAGTGGGCAGCGAGGGAGGCGAGACCTGTGTGTGAGATCTGTGTGGGGTAGGGGGGGTAGCACAGACATGAAAGCATAGGTAAGTGAGCACACAGCAACAGCCACATTAGCAGCTGCAGAAGCAGCCGATCTAAACCCTCCAGCCAATCAGGCAGCAGGGACCGGGAGGCGGCAGAGGGGTGGGCGGATGGCATGGCAGGCGTTGAGGCGGAGAGAGGAGAGGGCGGGGCAGTGGGCAGCGAGGGAGGCGAGGCCTATGTGTAAGATCTGCTTGGTTTGGGGTTTTGGCACAGACACAAAAGCACAGATATGTAATAACACAGCAGCAACAGCAGCGGATATAAGCCCCTCCACCCAATCAGCCAGAAGGGGGCTCTGGCCGAGGTCGAGAGCACAGCGAGGCAGAGGGGTGGGCGGACGGCATGGCAGGCGTTGAGGTGGAGGGAGGAGAGGGCAGGGCAGTGGGCAGCGAGGGAGGCGAGGCCCACGTGTGAGATCTGTGTGGGTGGGGGTTAGGGGGAGGGGGGAAACGTGAGAGGGATGCGATGGAAAGGAGACAGCAACGTTGAGTGGGAATTGTGGGGGGTGGAAGTAAGGAGGGGTGAGGAAGAGGTGAGGGGTGAGGGGGAAGAAGTAAGGTGTGAGCAATGCGGAGGCCGTGGGCGAGGCAAGGCGAGGGAGTTGAGGAAGCCTATGTGGGGTATCTGATGAGACTGCTTTTCCCGTTTTGTTTAGAAAGACTGCTCGTACCAAACCAAACTTCTCACCTGGGAGAAGGAGGCGTCGAGGTGCGTGAGGCGGGAGCATGAGGAGGCGATGGTGGCGAAAGCAGGGTCAGCGAGTTTGGTGCTCCAACTCAGGTCGAGACGTGTGAGGTGCGGGAAGGAGGAGAGGAGCGGCCCGAGGCTTGACTCCCGGACCTGAATGCAGGTATGGCGAATGCAGGTATGCAAGATGTGATGTATGCAGGTGTGGAAAGGGCGTGCAGATTTGGAGGTGAATATGCAGGTACGGAAAGTGCGTGCAGGTACGGAGGTGAATGTGCAGGTACGGAGGTGAATGTGCAGGTTCCAAACGGTGGTTCAGAGCCTCACCTGAGTGGGGAGAGAGAGCATCTCTATCATCCTGCAGTTGGCAGCAATGGCCTCTAGCCCTTTGCTCAGCTTCCCATGACGCACCTTCACCTTAAGAGTTCTCAGCGCAGCACACATGCTAGAGCAAGAGAGAGAAAATCGACACATGGCTCAGATCAGGAAAGCTCACCTGAGTGGGAAGAGAGAGCGTCTCTAGCATCCTGCAGTTGGCAGCAATCGCTTCTAGCCCTTGACTCAGCTTCCCGTGATGCACCTTCACCTTGAGAGTCTTCAACCCTACACAACCTCCCCCTACTCCTGCCAACACCGTATCTGTCACCCCCTTCTGGTCCGTCAGATTCAGGGTAACTAGCCCTGGGCAGTGCTGGCCAATGAGGGTGAGACACGTGGCAGGGAGCTGCGCGGTGGGGAGGATGGTGAGGGCGGAGAGGGAGGGGCCGGCGCGGGCGAGGAAGGAGGGGAAGTCGGCGAGGCGCTTGGGGGGCTGGCGGATGGAGACTGATGGGCGGGCGCGCACTGGGGAGGGCGGGGGTGGTAGGGGGAAGCAGAGGGAAATGGGAGTGGAAGGTAAGTCAAGAGGGGAAGCCGGAAGGCGCTTGGGGGGCTGGCGGATGGAAACTGACGGGCGGGCGCGCACTGGGAAAGGCAAGGGGGAGGGGTGGGGATGGATGAAGAGAGTTAGGGAGGCAAAGTGAGATGATGGGTGGAAGGAGGAGAAGTCGGGGAGGAGCTTGGGGGGCACGCGGATGGAGACTGACGGGCGGGCACGCACTGGGGGAGGCGAGGGGGAGTGGGGGGAAGGCAAGGGAGGGGAAGAAGCATGAGAACAGCAAGAGGAGGGGGAGCAACAAAACGAGAAACAGAACCTCGACAGATATCATCTTTCTCGCAAAAACAACGTGCTTTCACTCACAGATATCACCACTCTAAACTTACCGGCTAGCCGGTAGAGCGAGCTGCAGGTGCCCCTGACGGCCGTCAGATCTGCCAGTTTGAGCATCTGCAGCACCTTCACCCACACGTCCTCTGGCAGGCCCACGAAGCTCTGACTCCTCTCATGCTCGTGCTGATGCTCGTGCTTATGCTCATGCTGCTGTGAACCATGCTCGTGCTTATGATCATGCTGCTGTGAATCATGCTCCGCAAAAGAATTACCACCACCATCACCATCACCATCACCATCACCATCACCATCACCATCACCATCACCATCACCAAAACCGCCACCACTGCCACCGCCACCAGCAGCAGCAGTAGCAGCAGTATCTGTCACAGGGGCAGCATTAGAGCGCAAGTCTAGCACGAGCATGTCAGGTGGCGAGCACCCCTCTCCTCCACTCGCTACAGCACCTTCAGCTGCTGTCCCTTCTGCTCCTCCTCCTGCTGCTGTCCATTCTGCTCCCCCTGCTGCTGCAGGAGCGGCAGGACTAGTATCCGCGTTGAAGGGCCAGCCGCGGCTTTCAGAAGCAGCAGCAGCGGCACCAGGAGCAGCAGCACGAGTAGAATCGGTACCAGTAGCAGCAGAACTGTCGTGGCTGTTGCTCCTGTGGTGTGCTTCCGCCCCAGAGGGGGGCTTTGCTGTGTGCTGCCGCCGGCCCTGTCTGCCGCTTGATGGCGCAGTGGCTGAAAAGGGGGGAGAAGATGGGGGGACACAAGGAGAGAAGATGAAAAAATAATTAAAGAAAAAAAAGTCCAGAAAAATGAAGAAGAAAAAACTACTAGCCTTTCATTGCGGGAGATCAGACAGCATGCACGGGACGGCGCAAATAAGCAAAAACCTGAGCTTGAATTTGGAATCTGAAAGCACGTCAGCAGTCACCACGTTCCCTCCGTACCAGGTCGTGACGTCAGCAGAGAGTTGGCTGAATGCTCGCTTCCAACGCTGCTAGGCGCTGCTGCATTTCCTCTACAATGTACAGCATCCCGCGAAGCCGGATGATTCATCGCATTTTCACTATCTCCGTTGTTCACTGGGGATGCGGACGCGGATGCCGTTGTCTTGCTCGCCTCATGCTGACGCGAGCCCGCGTGTCGCAGCTTCGATGGAAGAAAGGCCCTCATTATTACGTTTCGACGCGAAGAGGAGCAAGGAAACCAAGCAAGAGGACTCCTCGGAGCAAGGAAACAGGCGACCGGTAATAACGAAACCAGCAACAGGTTCGGCTGGAAGATCAACAAGAGTCAGAATAATTTACGTCCCACTGCTTTGGCTGAGTAGCTCCTATTGTGCAATGCCGTCAGTTGTGTCAGAATAACTACGTTTACCGCGTCTGAATGTGCATTACTGGGGGTCAAATTAGGGGATTCAGGAACTACTACTAAGGCCTCTCAAGTAGGAAATCTCGATCTTGACGTTCTGACACAGTTTGTGAGATTCGGTGAGGAGAGATGAGTGGTGGCGATGAGCGGTGGTGAATGACCCATTTGCAAAACACAATTTTCGTTAGACTGACACGTTGAGAATGCTTTTTGAGCTACCGTACAGCTTACAACTGATAAGCAGTCGTGCAGCGAATTGTCAAGTCAAGGACTCAGGACAGGACTCTCAGGTGCCTGCTGTCCGAATGTGCCTCAGACAAGGCTCTCCGTCACCAACACTGTCCACATTGTAGATCCAAGGTTGGTCATGCATAGTGCTTTCTGTGGTTTGGTCATGTCTATATCTTAAATAAATAATATTTTTTCGTGACAGCCGCAAGTACCGCGCTTCCACATCGAGCAATCAGATAATTGTGAATTTTCTACAGCTGAGCCGTATGAAAACGAAAATATGGAGGTTCACGTTCAGGTACGGTATATGCACATGCAAAATTGAACTCGTGTTGTTTCAGACTACACCACTTATCTCTCAGCAACCTCGCGTACACCAACCATCCACCCACCCAATTCAACCCCCCACCCGCCCCCACGACCTCTCCTGAAAGGCCAAAACCCTGAACTCATATCAGGGTTATCTCTAGTTATTCATGGCCTGGTTCCCTTCATGTTTGGGCTCTCGCACCCACCGCACCCGCACACCCCCTACCAACTATCCCTGTTGGCTCCATACTTATCTCTACCAAGTTTATTTTCATCGCCTTTTCATCGCCCTCCGACCTTCCGCTATCCGCGCTTTTCCGTCGTCCTCGCTTGCATTCGTTTTTGCTGTACTTCCTTTTGAAACCCCTGTTTTCCCCGCTCTGTCGTTCTAACCACAATCAATTGTGACAGTAGGGGGGGCACAGGATCCCTCGTGATCCTTGTTTTTAATCGGCCGATCGGTCCTTCGTCTTGCAGGTAATGAACTTATTCCTTTTTGTTGTTATTCCTCACAACTGCCTGCAAAGGGAACTCCTCTCTTTTCCAGCCACCGCTTAACCCGCAGCTCGCTTCGTTAAGCCAATCCTGCCAGCTGCTTCGGCTGGTCGTGGGACGTCGTTTCACGGTTTGCTTCGGCGGATCGTGGGACCTCGTTTCATGATCTGCTTCTGCGGCTGGTGTGGTTGGCTGACGTGGCAGGGCTGCTGGTTACACCAATGCGGAGGCTGGTTTCGCGGAGTTCCCAAGAGGGACACGTGGCTCATAGTACCGATGGAATGCTCATTTCTCATTCCATTGGCCTCCATGTCCACTCACATTCAACGCTTTGTTCTCCGCATTTTGCATGCCAAACACCGGCTTTGCGTTGTTCACGTGCTGCTCCTGCCTGCTGTGAGACTCATGCCTCGCTCTCTGATTGCAGTGCTTGCAGGTGGTGCGTCGAAGCAAGTTACCCAAGGTTACCAGTGCCACTGCTGATGATTTGCCTTCCACAGAATCCATGTTCATGCTGCCGATTCTCGTTTTAGTGTTCTGTTTCAACAATGACATAAATTCACTGGCATCCCAAACCTTGGAAACTTATACAATATGCTATGGAAATCCAGAGTTTCTGTATGATCAGCTTCGTTGGAGGGAGCAATACTGTGTTCTGCAAGTCAGTTTTGGAAGGTAAACGGTAGGTGATGGATGGGGCGGATTCCCCTGTGAACCCTGTTGTAAGTGAACCGTTCCTCTAGTAGCACCAGTATTCAGCATCCTTAAAAGGGGTTTCTTCCTTCTACCCGATATGCAGTACAATTCCTTAGTATCTATCTGCGCTACTGAATAACTTCCTGGATCAGCAGAGGTACAGCACTACACGACATATCATCTTTTAGATTTGAGGAAGCTTCCTGCCGGCATCATCGGAAGCTCCTGTAGTGAGGGTTGTACATTTTGCTGAAGGCGTAGGACAGGAGATCTGGTGGCCTGGGCAAGTTCGTCGCGACGCCTGAGAGAGGGGAGCAGGAGGGAGTAACGGGTGCAAGAGGCCAAGGGTAAGAAACGGGGAAAGAAAAGGAGATGGCATGACAGCTGTTGTGCCATGCCCATGTGCTGTCTCACTCACCTGGTTCAATGGTAATTTGCGTCGAACAAACCACAAATACCGTAAGCCTCTGCATGAGCTGGTGTCCTTCAACTCACCAGTGTCATATGCATTAAAGCAAAACCCCTCGTAATGTGTGCTGAGATCGTTCAGTGTGGCTAAGAAGGAGGCCACATGAATGCTTCCTGCCTGCCCTGCCCTCCCTCCAGCCCTACAGCTCTCCTCCCAACTAACCAATGTCGTACCGCCTTAGAGGCAACGGCTCTGGCAGTGTGTGCTGAGATCGTTCAGTGTGGCTAAGAAGGAGGCCACATGAATGCTTCCTGCCTGCCCTGCCCTCCCTCCAGCCCTACAGCTCTCCTCCCAACTAACCAATGTCGTACCGCCTTAGAGGCAACGGCTCTGGCAGTGTGTGCTGAGATCGTTCAGTGTGGCTAAGAAGGAGGCCACATGAATGCTTCCTGCCTTCCCCGCCCTCCCTCCAGCCCTACAGCTCTCCTCCCAACTCACCAATGGCCTTAAGAGGCAACGGCTCTGGCAATGTGGGCTGAGATCGTTCAGTGTGGCTAAGAATGAGGGCTCATTAATATCTCCTGACTGCCCTGCCCTCCCTACAGCCATACAGCTCTCTTCCCAACTCACTGAGGACATACGCCTTGGCAGCAACGGCCTTGGCGATGTGTGCTGAGATCTGTCGAATCTTCCAGGTGGGTGGGTACATGTGCCTGAGAATGAAGGCACATGGATGACCCCTACCTGCCCTGCCCGCCTACAACCTTACAACTCACCGAGGTCATGCGCCTTAGCAGCAACGGCCCTGGCGATGTGTGCCAAGATCTGTCGGACCTTCCAGATGGGTGGGTACACGCGCCTGAGAATGAAGGCACATGTATGACCCCTACCTGCCCTGCCCGCCTACAACCTTACAACTCACCGAGGTCATGCGCCTTAGCAGCAACGGCCCTGGCGATGTGTGCCGAGATCTGTCGGACCTTCCAGATGGGTGGGTACACGTGCCTGAGAATGAAGGCACATGTATGACCCCTACCTGCCCTGCCCGCCTACAACCCTACAACTCACTGAGGTCATAGGCCTTGGCAGCAACGTCCCTGGCGAGGTGATGTGTGCTGAGATCGTTAATTCGACTAAAAATAAGTTCACGTGAATGTACCTTTCCTCCCAACTCACCGAGGTCATACGCCTTGGCAGCAACGGCCTTGGCGATGTGTGCTGAGATCTGTCGAATCTTCCAGATGGGTGGGTACACGCGCCTGAGAATGAAGGCACCCTACCTGCCCTGCCCGCCTACAACCCTACAACTCACCGAGGTCATGCGCCTTAGCAGCAACGGCGAGGTGATGTGTGCTGAGATCGTTAATTCGACTAAAAATAAGTTCACGTGAATGTACCTTTCCTCCCAACTCACCGAGGTCATACGCCTTGGCAGCAACGGCCTTGGCGATGTGAGCTGAGATCTGTCGAATCTTCCAGATGGCTGGGTATACTCGCCCCTGCTCCCTGTCATCGTCGCTCACCTGAGATGCACAGAGAGTAAACGGGGAGGGGGAGGGGGGAAGAAGCGAGGGAGTTTTGGGGATGGGAGTGGGAGCTGCGGAAAAGACAAGCGCAGACACATGGGCAAGGAGGTTGCGAAAAAAAGGAAAGATAGTGATTGGTTAGGGACGCAAACAACAAAATCTTCAAGATGGGTAGGCTCGCCCCTTCTCCCTGTCATCGTCACTCATCTGTGCTGCTAGTGCCTCAGTAGCAGCGTGGAACATCTTGTCTCGCATCCTTGTAGCGCCACACATGTCGATATCGCTGCACCGCAATGAATGATTCACACCTGTGCTGCCAGTGCCTCAATCGCCCTCACCTGTGCTGCGAGTGCCTCAGCAGCAGCGAGGAACATCTCGTCTCTCATGCGCGCGGCGCCACACATGTCGATATCGCTGCGCCGCATTGATGATTCTCACCTGTGCCGCCAGCACCCCAAACGCTCTCACCTGTGCGGCCAGCACCCCAAATGCTCTCACCTGTGCCGCCAGTGCCTCAAATGCTCTCACCTGTGCTGCGAGTGCCTCAGCAGCAGCGAGGAACATCTCATCTCTCATGCGCGTGGCGCCACAGGTGAGACAGCCAAGGCCGATTCCTGGAAGCACATATGCTTTGTTGCCCTGCCCGGGCACAAACCACCCGTCTCCCCCCCAGCTCCCTTCCAAATAGACTCAAAACGAGGGTGTAAACCTCTCATCCCCCTCACCGGGAAGTGAGCTCTGAGTCAACCGAAACACCTGTGCTTAGAGGCGTAACCCCCGCCAGTCTCTCACCTGTGCAGCCAGCGCCTCAGCAGCAGCGAGGAACATCTCGTCTCCCATGCGCAAATGCTGGCAACCTTTGATTCGCACCTGTGCTGCAAGCACCTCAATCCCCCTCACCTGAGCCGCTAGCGCCTCAGCAGCAGCGAGGAACATCTCGTCTCTCATGCGCGTGGCGCCACACATGAGGCAGCCGAGGCCGATCCCCGGAAACACATACGCATTGTTGCCCTGCCCGGGGACGAACCGCTTCCCATCCATCTCCACCGGGGCGAATGGGCTGCCACTGGCAAATATGGCCCGACCCTGGTGGGGGGAAGAATGGGTTGAGCTAAGGAAATGCTGCCCTGCCCGGGCACAAATCGCCTCCTGTCCATCTCCACTGGGGCGAACGGGCTGCCACTGGCAAAGATAGCTCGACCCTGGTGGGGTGGAGGGGGTTGTGGAAGGGTGGCGGGTTGACTTGCACGAAGATATTGTGGTTTCTTTCTACCCTGGCGTGACACATACGGCAGCAACCACTTGTCATCCATCCATCTCCACGAGGGGGAACGGGCTGCCAGCCACTGTCGAATATGACCCTGATGGGGTGGAGGGGGGGAGATGCAAAACAGATCAAGGTGAGTGAACGGCAGAAATGCTTATCCATTTGAACACACTCAGCTGAGCAAATTCGCATCAAACATTCACATGAAAACGTTCACATGAGCACATCCATTCAGGTTCAATCACCACATCGATCCACCCATCTCAACCCATTGACACACCTGGGTCCACTTGTACGCATCCTCTGCTGTGCACTCAGAGAGCGATGTGGGGTTGGAGAGAGCAAATACGACGGGACGCTGGTGGGGGGTGGGGAGGAGGGGAGGCAAGGGGTTTGACAGAGAGACAAGAGAGCGGAGAAGATTGACTGGAGACCCAAGTGGATAAGATGTTGGGGCAGCAGGAGCAGCAGGAGGAGCAGGAGGAGCAATATGAGAAGCACGCAACAACAACAGCAACAGCAGCCCACGTCTCTCCTGCCAAACCAGAACCTTCAGCCCTCACCTCGTTGAGCTGGGCCATGGCTTCACACACGGGCTGGTTGAACGTCCCTGCTTGCCCCGACACCCCTATCAGTGCCGTTGGCCGTATGGCCTGGGGAAAGGGACGAGTGGAAAGGGAGGGAGAGGGAGTGAGAGGGAGAGGGAGAGGGAGTGAGTGGAGAGGGAGAGGAGTCCAATGAGTCAAGCGCGAAACACAGTGAGTTTGAGACGACTAAAAACTCATTTGATTTGCAGGAGAGGCAGGGAGTAGAGTGGAAGGTGGAACACATTGAGTTTGAGACGAACGATGAGCTCAACCAGCTGAGGTGGTGCAGAATATTGAGAATTTTCAAAAACAGACTGAGCTCAACCAGCTCAGGTGGCAGGTGCTTGTATGTGTGACACTCCCACTCCCAACCCCAACCCCAACCGACCCCAACCCCAACCCCAACCCCAACTGAGCCCAACCCCAACCACGTCCCCAACCCCAATCCTGGCACCTTGCTACTCACATGGATGGATGGTCTCCACGAGATCGGCAGACTCGGGGTGGTCATGGGCGTGATGAGTTGATATGGTTACACGCACTCAGGCCCATGTTAGTGTGCGCAACCATAACCACAAAACCAAACCCTGTCACTCACATGTATGATCTCCACGAGATCGGCAGACTCGGGGTGGTCATGGGCGAAGGGCACCTTGTGTGGCTGCAGCGAGTCCACTCTGCTGCGCACCACCAGGCCCTGGGAGGGAGGGAGGGAGGGGTTGGGAACAGGAAAGGAGTTAGCAGGAGAGGAGTGAAGGACGGTGGGGCTTGTGCTGCTGCTCCCCATCTTGTGTGGCTGCAGCGAGTCCACTCTGCTGTGCTGCGCACCACCAGGCCCTGCAGGGAAGAGGAAATGGCAGGAGAGCAGGAGACAGGCAAGGGTCGTGATGGCCAATTTTCTGTAGTCGTTTAACTGATCAGATCAGAAGGCTGCAACAACTCTGATCTAAGCGTCTCACTCACCTTGGAGTCCACGAGCCAGATGCGCTCTCGAGTCCCTGCCAGCGATATGTTTGCCTCTCTGCTGATTGCCGCCGCCAGCAGCTCAGCAATGCCGGTGCCGGCCTCATCCTTGAGGTGCGCTCAAGAACTATGAATGAGGGTCTGTCTCTCACCTTGGAGTCCACGAGCCAGATGCGCCCTCGCGCCTCTGCCAGAGATATGTTTGCCTCTCTGCTGATTGCCGTGGCGAGCAGCTCAGCAATGCCGGTGCCGGCCTCCCCTGCCCCGAAGAAGAGGATGGTCTGGTTGGACAGGGATGAGCCGAGCAGAGGTAGAGACGCCAGCAGCCCCGCTAGCGCCACAGACGCTGTTCCCTGGTGGGAGAAAGGTGGAAGGTGGGGAGGTGATGGAGAGGGGGGTGGTGGGGGAAGACAGTGGGAGGATGGTTGGAAGGACAGTAGCTAGCTAGCAGCTCAGCAATGCCGGTGCCGGCCTCCCCTGACCCGAAGAAGAGGATGGTCTGGTCGGACAGGGATGAGCGGAGGAGAGGGAGGGAGGCGAGCAGCTCCGCCAGGCCCACTGATGCTGTGCCCTGGTGGGGGATGGTTGGGGGAGACAGTGGGAAGTTGGTTAGAAGGTGGTATCTATGGGCAGGCAGCCGATCAGCAATGCCGGTGCCGGCCTCGCCCGCCCCAAAGAAGAGGATGGTCTGGTTGGAGAGGGATGAGCCGAGGAGGGGGAGAGGGAGGCGAGCAGCCCTGCCAGGGCCACTGCTGATGTGCCCTGGTGGGAGCGAGACCGTGGGGTGAGGGAGGGGGATGGAGGAAGGAGGAGAAGAGGATGGTCTGATTGGAGAGGGATGAGCCGAGGAGGGGAAGAGACGCCAGCAGCCCTCCCAGCGCCACTGATGCTGTTCCCTGGTGGGAGAAAAATGGGGGAGGAGGGGAGGGGGGAAGAGGGAGGGTGGGGATGTGAGGGAGAGGAAGGAGAGAAAGGCAACATGGATGAGGCGAGCATGAGCAGGGGCATCAGCAGGAGCAGGGGGTGCAAGCAGGGCAGGGTTGTGAGCAGCTGTGCGGTGTGGTTGGCAAATTCCAGATGCAGGACAGCATTGTGGGTCTGGGTTTGAAAATGTGACTTTTGAGTTGACTCAAAAGTCACCTCAGAACAGCATTGTGGTTCTGGGTTTGAAAATTTGGGCGCACACAGGCCTGGCAAGCCCACCTGAATGTCGTCGTTGAAGACGAGGTGAGAACCGCCGTACTGGAAGTGCAGGCGGAAGGTGTTGTAGTGGCTAGCAGAGCCCCGATGCAACACAGCATTGCGGTTCTCTGGAGTTCAAGACTAGATGCGAACAGGCATAAACAAGCCCACCACACAAGCCCACCACACAAGCCCACCACACAAGCCCACCACACAAGCCCACCACACAAGCCCACCACACAAGCCCACCACACAAGCCCACCACACAAGCCCACCACACAAGCCCACCACACAAGCCCACCTGGATGTCGTCGTTGAAGATGAGGTGAGAGCCGCGGTACTGGAAGAGCAGGTGGAAGGCGTTGTGGTTGGCAGGCGTTATGGTTCTGAACTTTAAGACTAAACACAAGCACACACCTGCATGTCACGAGATGCATATAGATACAGACACCACAAGCCCACCCACCTGGATATCGTCGTTGAAGACGAGGTGGGAGCCGTGGTACTGGAAGAGCAGGCGGAAGGCGTTGTGGTTGGCTAAGTCCAGATGCAAGTACGCACTGTGGTTCTGAGTTTCAAAGCTGGAGGCAAACAAAAACAAGCAGCCCACCTGGATATCGTCGTTGAAGACGAGGTGGGAGCCGCGGTACTGGAAGAGCAGGCGGAAGGCGTTGTGGTTGGCAAAGTCCTCGAACTGAATCAGCACGTCCGACCCAAACCGCTGCTTGCAGGCCTCCATGAACTCATCGATCAGCTCGTCATACTCCTAATGGTGTGAGAGGGGAAGAGTATTGGGAGATCGAGATTGGGAAAAAGGGAAAGAGAGTAGGGAAGAGAGGTCTGAGACGGCTCTTGTCACGTCCGACCCGAACCGCTGCTTGCAGGCCTCCATGAACTCGCCTATCAGCTCGTCGTACTCCTGGGGGATTGAGAGGGATGAGGGAAGGGTTCAGGGGAAACGATTTCGTATATTGTTTAAGCGGTCTGAACCGCACCGCACCGCTGCTTTGCTTGCTTGCATGCCTCCATGAACTCATCGATCAGCTCGTCGTACTCATGGCGGCAAGACAAGGAGAGGAACCGCTTCAGGGCCAACCCAACCCCTTGGCGAAACCCGCCAAGAAGATGGCCTGCCATGCCACTTCAGCCAGCGCTGGGCAGTGGCACTCCAGCGTTCCCAGGAGAACGCCTTTCACTCCAGGGCCAGGGCAGGGATTGAGGCGGCACACACACACCCAGATCGCAGCGCAGCGGACCCATGGCCGCTGCACCTGGGGGACGTCCTCCACACGCTGGAGGGGTAGAGGAACACTAAGGGGGTGGCAGAGGGAGGGGGGGGGGAGGGGGGGGGGGGGGGGGGGGGGGGAAAGGGGGATTAAAGGTTTCACCGGATAATTCTGCATGTTTGTACCCTGCCTGAATCAATACAAAGGACCGTTTGAGAGTTTGAGAGAACAGAGAGTTCACAGTCGTTTCTTGGCATCTCTGACTGACCCCGAACCGTTGCTTGCATTGCATGCCTCCATAAACTCGCCTATCAGCTGCTCGTCATAGTGATTCGATAAGGGAGGGGAAGAGGGGTGGAAAAGGAGGGTTTCGGGTTTAGAGGAAAGGTTTTAGTGAAGACAGGTATGAGACGGCTCTAGACATGTTTGGCACCAGCCGTAAACCTCTGCAGTACAGTATCATATCATAGCACTCGTGCCTGAGTGAATGCAATGAAACTGTACCACGTGTTTGGTTGCCTGAGTTCCTGGTGGTGTAGGGGGGCCTTCCTTGAGGAGAGCAGGGGGGACTGACCTGACTCGAAAGCCGGCCTAGAGAATGATATGTGCAGTGCACGTGGGAGCATACCTCTCCCGTTGCACGCGGCTGTCTAAGCCCTGGGTAGAAAGGGTCTTTGAGGAGAGCCTGGTTGTTGGTGCCCACGTCGATGGTCACAGGCAGACACTGCGATGGAGGGTGAGCGAGCGGAGGCCACAGCACAGCACATATGGGGGATGCAAGGAAGACAAGAGGTGAGTGAGAGAGGAAGGTGCAAAGGACCTCTATTTGATCAGAGCCTGGCTTTTGGTTCCCACGACAATGGTCACAGGAAGGCAGGACCCGAGACTTGTTGAAAACTGTGGCATCTTGAAGCTACAGAAAAACCTCTCTCCCTCTTTAAGTCTCCTAAAAAAACTTGGCCACCCTTTTGAACCAAACCCCAAGACATCAGGCAAAGAACTTCCACCCTCTTTCTCCTGCATACCTCTGCAGGGTGGATGCCTCCGCATGCTGTGTAGAGCGTCAGCTTGCCCACCGCTATTGCCATGCCCTGACGCACCAGGGAGGGCGAGGGTTGGGGGAGCGAGTGGATGGAGAGGGTTGAGGCGGCGCGTTAGGGCAGTAGAGAAGAGAGAGGGTTGGCAGCAGGGAGAGAGAGGGTTGGCAGCAGAGGGAGAGAGGAGGGTTGGCAGCAGAGGGAGAGAGGAGGGTTGGCAGCAGAGGGAGAGAGGAGGGTTGGCAGCAGGGAAAGAAGACGAGAACATTCATGTGCCCAGGTCTCCAAGCGCCAACACCTGTTCCCCATCACTGACAACAATGGCTCGCACGCGCCTCTCAGGCCAGTTCTTAATCAACTCCATCACCCGCCCTCGGTCCTGCTGCGACAAGCCCAGCCCACATCCGCACGCCAAGGCATCGCAACTCACCCGAAACGCACTCCCAGGCAATCACAGCAGCCCACCTGCACACCAAGATCTCCAAGCCCTAGCACTCTCTCTCCGTCAGTGACCACAATCGCCCGCACGCGCCGCTCAGGCCAGTTCGTGAGCAGCTCCATCACCCGCCCACGGTCCCTCTGCGACACAAACAGCCCTCCCTTGACTCACTGTCACCCGCTCTCCCAGGCATTACGACTCACCTGCACTCCCAGGTCTCCAAGCCCAAGCACTCTCTCCCCATCGGTGACCACAATCGCCCGAACGCGCCTCTCGGGCCAGTTCTTAAGCAGCTCCATCACCCGCCCACGGTCCCTCTGCGACACAGAACAGCCCTTTTCACACCCTCACTTGCCCTCCCAGGCACTACAGCTCACCTGCACTCCAAGATCTCCAAGCCCTAGCACTCTCTCTCCATCAGTAACGACGATCGCCCGCACGCGTCTCTCAGGCCAGTTCTTAAGCAGCTCCATCACCCGCCCACGGTCCCTCTGCGACACAAACAGACCCCTCGGCCGCCGGAACAGCAGCCCAAAGCGCTCACACGCCAGGCCCACTGTGGGGGTGTAGCTGTACGGGAAGGGGGCGTGGAGAGGAGGGAGTGGGAAGGGGTGAAGCACGGTGGAGCGTCACACGCCCGGCCGACTGTGGGTGTGTAGCTGCAGTGGACAAGGGGCGTGGGGATAGGGGAGTAGGGGGTGTGTGAGGAGGCGCATGGCAAGTTCCCCTCCTTCAGTTAACTCACACGATGAGCTTGAGCTGTTCAATTTGATCCACCAGCACGCGGTAGAAGAGCCGCTCGTTGCACCCTTTTCATCCTCACTAACAGCATTAATCACCACTAGATTGCTCCCCCTCTTTGGACTCACACGATGAGCTTGAGCTGTTCAATCTGGTTTTGAGACGTCTCAAAATTGGACTCACACGATGAGCTTGAGCTGTTCAATCTGATCCACCAGCACGCGGTAGAAGAGCCTCAGACGAGCCCTGCTCACACTCACTGTCACAACTCTCTCACTCCCTCCTTTACTCACACGATGGGCATGAGCTGCTCAACATGGTCCACCAGCACGCGGTAAAAGAGCCTCAGACGACACGCTCACTACCACCATCACCATCACCATCACCATCACCATCACCATCACCATCACTACCACCATCACCATCACCATCACCATCACCATCACCTTCACTATCTTTCCCACTCTGCGACTCACACGATGGGCATGAGCTGCTCAACATGGTCCACCAGCACACGGTGGAAGAGCCCTGGGTGAGCCCTGTTCACACTCATTATCACCACTCCCATCAGCATTACCATCTCGCCCGCTCTGCGACTCACACGATGGGCATGAGCTGCTCAACATGGTCCACCAGCACGCGGTAGAAGAGCCGCTCGTTGCGCTCCTGCAGCGCCATGAGGTGCACGTAGCGCTGCAGGTCCGACTGTGCTTCCTTTAGGTTCGCCAGCACCCTATCCACCTGGCGTTACACAAGGAAAGGGAAGGGAGAGAACGGGAGGGGGGGAAGGGGAACGGGGGTGTTTAGCGCTCCTGCAGCGCCATGAGGTGCACATAGCGCTGCAGTGCAGATCTGACTGCGCCTCCTTTAGATTCGTCAGGACTCGGTCGACCTGGCGTTACAGAAGCACAGGGAAGGGAGGGAAGGGGAGGGATTAGGGTTTATGTGGCTGTTCAACGCTCCTGCAGAGACATGAGGTGCACATAACGCTGCAGGTCCGACTGTGCATCTTTTAGGTTAGCCAAAACCCTGTCGACCTGGTGGGAGGGAGGGAGGGAGGGAGGGAGGGAAAGAGGGAACGAAGGAAGAAAGGAGGTCCTGGCTCATCTAACCTGCTTTAAGGAAGTGTGGCTTGTTTAGCCTGCTAGCAGTGAGTCCCGCCTAGTGGTCCTGGCGCATGTAACCTGCTAGCAGTCAGCGTGGCTCATACACCCTGCTAGCAGTCAGTGTGGCTCATATACCCTGCTAGCAGTTAGTGTGGCTCATATACCCTGCTAGCAGGCAGTGTGGTTCATATAGCAGGCTAGCAGTCAGCCCCACCTGGTCGTCCTGGCTCATGTAGCCGGCGGGCAGCAGGCCGTTCAAGTACAGGCGGCTGTGCTGTTCCTCTGTAAAGGCCAGCCCCTTGTTGTACTTGGGGTTGCAAGCGGTCAGTGTGGTTCACTTAGCCTGCTAGCAAATCAGCCCTACCCACCCACCTGGTGGTCCTGGCTCATGTAGCCGGCGGGCAGCAGGCCGTTCAGGTACAGGCGGTTGCGCTCCTCCTCTGTGAAGGCCAGCCCCTTGTTGTACTTGGGGTTGCGCAGCAGATCCACCCCGCTGCAGACAGGGGACAGGGAGAGATAGGAAGTAACAAGGTAAGTCATTAAGGCATTGCGAGGGACCTTGGGACGTGAGCGTGTCGCACTGAGGCACCTCCTCTGTGAAGGCCAGCCCCTTGTTGTACTTGGGGTTGCGCAGCAGGTCCACTCCGCTGCAGGCAGGTGACATGACAGGGACAGATGAAACACAAGAGTTTGATGTGTTGCGAGGGAGCTTATGGCGTGAGTGTGGCGCAACGGACCGCTGTAAAGGCCAGGCCCTTGTTGTACTTGGGGTTGTGCAGGGGGTCCACTCCGCTGCAAGCAGGGGACAGGGATGGATGAACAACAAGGTTGGGACCAGACACAACCCAATTGGGGGGAGGATAGGGCTTGTGTGTGGCGCAATGGACAACGAGCTCCTCCGCTGTAAAGGCCAGCCCCTTGTTGTACTTGGGGTTGTGCAGGAGCCTCCCCTGCACTGCAAGAAGGCGACAGGGAGGATGACGTGTTGAGTTGAGCCAAAGTGAGGGAGGTTAAAATGCTTAAGCCGCTGGCCCTTGTTCTACTTAGGGAGGTTGCGAAGCAGCTCCACTTGTGCAAAAAGGGACCTCAAATCGCTTCCACTGTGTGAATGCGAGGCCCTTGACCTGATCTTTAGTTTCGGCAGAAAATGCATTCCAGTCCAAGTGGTGAAGACAGATAAGGGATCGTTCAGTGTGAGGAGACAGATAGACAGACAGACGATTTAGGGTAAGCGAGCATGTAACAGACGCGAAAAGGGGATTCACTGTGGTTACTGCTTCGGCAGAATTTGGAATGTGTTAGCGGCTTTCGTTTTGCTGAACGACCGTAACAGCGACATCACCATTTGCGCATTACTAATCGGCCTGCAGGCTAGATAGGCCCTCTCTAATATTTGAAGAACCAATGTTACACATTAGCCGCTGCCTGGAGTCTTCGAATCACTCTAACATTAACATGGCGACGCTGCGAACCCATGGAGCGACTTATACGCTAAGGTCATTGTCCGAATATTTTGAGTTTACTCAAATGTCAAAATGTGTCAAAATGTCACAAGGATAACTACCCACCTGGCGACGCTGCGGACCCACGGCGTGACGTCCACGCTATGGTCATTGTCCGAGTCCTCCTCCCCGCTGTCCCCCTGCTTCCCCAGATGCCCCCATCCGCCCGGCGGACCGGCGGAAGACTGCACCGCGGACCCTCCGCTTCCGCACACGCCTGTAGCCCCGCTGTGGAAACTCCCCGCAGCAGGTAAGCCTTGCGCTAAGCCTTCCGCCAGATAGCTCGCAGCAATAGCGGCAGGAGCGAGCTGTCTGAGCAGCTGAAGCGGAAGCGGAGAGTTTAGCGCGCTTGCGGCCCTTCGGTGGCTGCTGCTTCGTCGCAGCCACCCTGCGAAAGCCATGCGCGGAAGGACAAGCTTAATGTCAGGTAAGCTTAGCCTGTTCCGGTTACAATAACCCAGAGAATGTAGGAACTGGTAAGCGAGGCAAACGCGTGAGAGGTGCTTCAGCTGAAACTGACAGAGAACAGCCAAAGCAAGGAAATGGACAGAGTGAGGAAGATTGTCCGTGTTTCTCAAGGTTGGACTGTGGTGAGCATTTGGACTTCGTTGTGTAGAAACTGGTTGTGTGGTCATGAATGGTCACAGCAGCTTTTGCGAACATTCTTGGGAATCTCGTCTGACGAAGTTTATTTGCAAGTTACCGCTCTTGATTCGCCAAGCAAAGCTCAGTTGCGTTAGTAATCACTTGCGGCCTGGCGATTTGGATTCAATTCGTGTAACTTCGCCTGAGCTTGGCACCACAAGTTGGAACAGGATTTTCTAGTGGTGGTTCTTGTTGTCCTGCGTGATACAGGTAGAACTGGCCGTAGAGGAAGGTGCATTTGATTGGCTGCTCCCAAACTATTTGGAGGGATGGGGTTGGCTGAGACAGTGCTGACGCAAACTGGATATGCTATTTGCTCTTTCGTGGCGAGCGTTGCCCTTGCTCCGATAGTCGGAGTTACGATACTCGAAACTTGCACGTCAAATGGAAATGCACAAGGCAAACAATAATTATCACATACAAAGCAAAACAAAGCACACAATGCCCTAAAGCACACAATGGCCTGTACAAAAGGCAACATGTATACACGGAGTGATGAGGCGTTCAGTGAGCGCGAACAATAGTGCAGTTATTTAGCTAACATTGATTCCCTGATGCTTGAGCACCTCCCCTACCAAAGCCCCTCTGCCAGAACCCACATACCGCCCCAGCAGCTCCCCCCTCCTGTAGAACAAAAACGTGGGCGCCTCGACAATATTCATCTCCCTCATGAGCGTGACAGTCGACTCGTTACTGTCACCAAATACGCGAGCAAAAACCGCTGTGTCCGGCATCCGCTGCGCAAGCTTCACAACCGTCGGATGAATTCGCACGCACGGACCACAGAAAGTCAGCGTCGCCTTCAGCACCACCAACCGATCGTCATTCTCGTGCCGGCGCAGCAGCTCATAGAAATCGTCGCGACCGTTAATTTCCAGCACCAACCCGTCCTGCTCGGTGTCCGTGCTTCCGCTGTACACGCTACCGCCTTCGGATCTATCAGACGCGTTCATCCCGAGGTTGCTCCCGCTGCTGCTGTAATACTGCAGCTGCAGCAGCAGCCTATCCACGTCCATGCCAGGCTCCTCGTGCACCATCTGCCCGTCCCTGAAAATCGAGTACGACGGAATCTGCTTCACGCCCAGCGACTTGGCCAGGTCGCGCAGCACGTCGCTGCGATCGGCCATGAGTCGCAGAAACAGCGTGCGACCGGGTGCGACACGCGCGACTTGCTGCAGCTTGGGGTAGTTCTTCGCGGTGTTGGGGAGCGAAGACAAGGTGGTTTCCACCACGACGAGCTGGCCGCGCGCGGAGGCCGCCGCCAGGAGCGAATCGAACTCCTCCCACGCGCTCACCGTGATCACGCGGCTGTCGGCGTCCGCCTCGAACGGGCAAGTCGGCGTTCCGGCGGCGGCGCCCTCATCGTCGGTGTCGTAGCTGGCGGGGCCAATAAGCGTAGGATAGAGCGCGCCGGACGACGGCGCGGCTGCGGCGGCGCCGGAAGCGGGGCGGCGGGTCGGGGAAACGTAGCGACGCTTCTGCGAGTCGTTGAACTGAGAGGCGACTGTAGGCGACGGACGCGCGGCGCCGCGCGAGACGGCGAAAGTGGAAGCCCCCGTGCGAGATTTCAGGGCCTGGGAGGAAGGCGCGAGGAAGGAGGACTTCAACGAGCAGTCGGCGACGGAGGCAAGGCGAAGAGCGTCCATAGTTGATCGGCGGAGTAGCGCTGCAGGTTGGTTGGAATTCAAGGGCGAAATGCACGAGGAATGCACAGGAAGATTCGCCACTGGCTTGGCACAAGCTGTGCACAATTGGGACTGCGAGTGGTGACGGTGACCGACGAGTCCACCCAAATGAATCAAGTGGGTTGCTGGGTGCTGCTGGGGCGCTGAAAGCTGTCGAATGAATTCTGGAGAGTCAGAAGGCAGACTGGCCGATTGCCGAATAAATTCTGATAACTGATGAAAGAACGAGGAGAATGGGTGCAGTAAATACTCGAGGTGCAATGCGAGGAATGCGAGGCTGTCAGTCACTAAGCAGCGTTCTGCGGCGAGTAGCCGCTGGCTTACGGTGAGTGGGCAACACTTAGCGAATTCCGTCCAGATGACTGGCCAGGTACACGGACACGACACATTCATTTCCCTAGCTTCTAGGGAGTGCAGAACCCCACAGCTCAGTCTCAAGTGGGAAGTGAGGTGTCGCCAACTGTATGGTGAACTGACTTGAGTTGTGGGGGGAAGTGAGGTGTGTGAGAACCTGTCATGTGCAACTGACCTTTCTTGGCTGTGAAACGAAATTCCTTTTCGCAGCAACCGCGGCACGCGGGAGCTCTCCGTTACAGAAAGCTGCAATTCGAGGGCATGCAGGAAGAGTGCACCTGGCTTGGTTGACGAAAATGAAAAGTTTCGCCAGTGATTCGTGAATCTCCATTGCAACATGGCGCCGCCGCATGCATAAATTTTGAAGCATGGCATGTACAGTGCAATGCCTGTATGAATCTGGGGAATGACCTCAGAATGTGGTTGAAAACATGCATCTCAACGATTTTTTGCGATCTCGCCTTTGAAAATGTACCGAGAATGTTGGAAGCACGCTTCAGGCTGTGCTGGAAAGCCAGAATGCCACGCTATCAGGAGATCCGTGTTTGTCTTTCGCTAATGCGGACCCAGCATTTGGCGGGTTTCGATTTGACACAACTGAGGTGGCAAGCCGCATGTCGGAATCCGATTTGCCCGTCTTATTTGGCGGGACTGAGGGAGATGTCAGTACACTCCATGTAAATCACACTTCTTATCACTGCATGTGTGTTTAGCAAGCTGTGCTAACCACGGGGATGCTTGAAGGCATCTTGTTTTCAAGGAAGATTCATAGCACATTTGCCGCCGCATCAGCCAGCGCACTCTACGCGTCATCAATCCACGCTGCGTGATCCTAAATAAACTTTAAATCTCTCAGCCCCCGTTCACCTGTCATGTCGAACTCGAATCGCGCCCTATCCGATGCTTCAACGGCCCGCAATTTCACGTCGCTAGAAAGCCCTTCTCCTCCAAAAAAAAACTGAGACGGGCAGTCCTCAAAATGCAAACAAAAAATCTGGCCCTTCTTCTTCCGCTTCCGCTTCCGCAACCCCTCCGCGCGCGCAACCCCTCTTCTCTTTCCGGCATGGCCGTTCCGCTACCCCGTCCTTCCCTCCCCCGTCAGCTGCTGACGTGGCATCGTTGCGGGAGCAGTGGAAGTACGCGCTGCGGATGTACAGTGTACAGTACGCGAACGCGTGGGGAGGAGTGATTGCAGCGGGGGTGTGCTTGTACGGACTGGGATGGTATATCAAAGGGGAAGACCCCTTGAAGGATTTCAGGAAGCAGGAGGAGCGAGAAGGGACGAAGGGAGGGGAGAAAGGGAAGGGAGAGGAGGGGAGATGAGGGGAGGGGAGATGAGAAGAGGGGAGACGAGGAGAGGGGGAGGAGCTTTCTCACGAAAGAAGAAAGCTCAGGAGCAGATTACTTTGTCGAAGGGTTGGGAGGGAACAGAGCCACGTGTAACTGACACGATCTGATTTGAGGCGAATTACAGAGGCAAATGTTTTGTTTCTAGGTTGATAGCGGAGGTGAGGGGGGGGAGGAGGAGAGAGAAAGGAGAAGGGGAGAACTGGTAGCTGAAGGATAGAGGCGCAAAGAGGCAGGGGCAGAGGCAGGGGCAGGGGCAGGGGCAGAGGCAGGGGCACGGGCACAGGCAGAGGCAGAGGCAGGGGCAGAGGCAGGGGCAGAGGCAGGGGCAGAGGGAGGGGCAGAGGCAGGGGCAGGGGCAGAGGCAGAATCAGGGGCAGAGGCAGAGGCAGAGGCAGAGGCAGAGGAAGAACTGGTAGCTGAAGTATAGAGGCTGTATATGGCAGGGGCAGAGGCAGGGTAGCTGACAGACAGGCAGCAAGCCAAAGAGGCAGGGGGGCACGCTTTGTACATACTGCTGCATGTCATGTGATAAGGCACGGACTGGGCAATGAGGGTACACAGTCTTATCGGATGGTTAAAGGCGTTGCTGATTGGAGCAGAAATATGGATCCTGATTCAGATGATGAACTGGAAGTGGCAGGCTGCAGAAGAAGTTTATGATACGGTAGGCACTAGAGAGTTTATGAACTGGGACAGCTCATGCTGTTGAAGACAAATGTTTTTCTTATATGTACAGTTTTGACGCGAAATGCTGGAGTCCCGATAATCTAGGGTATTTTGCAGGAAGGATGCGGAATCTGCAATCAGTGTACACGCTCGATAAAAGGCTGAAAAATCAGTCCCCTTCCATAAAAAAAGGCTGAAATTTCAGGGTTACAAAATAAAGAAGGCTGCAAGTTCAGGGTTGGTACAGAAAAAAATGCTGAAAATCAGTCAAATCAGGGTAAAAAGCCTGATATCTAAGGGCCTGCTTGCACAGCACAATCACCTCACCTCACGACCACCATGCCTTCAACTGTTTTCGTTCTCAAAAACCACGAGAGTTCCGTTCCGGCTGGTGTTAGCACATGTAAACAAAGTGAAAAATCATTGCAGGAGAATGCATAGAATGAACAGTCCGGTCCAGCAGGGAGGAAGGCACCACAGCTGACAATCCTGCCCGCACAGTGTGGCTGCCCTGCCCATTCCACCAGATGGTGTGCTAAGTGCATTCTGGGTGGCCTTTAAAAAAATCAGGTACTACAAGCTGCGCGCACATCAAAAGACAGCACTGCCCCATGTTTTTGCAGGGTCGGGATCTTCGAGCTTCAAGTAGTCCCTCCGACTCCCCTGCACATGCAAAGGTGGGAACGGAGTGCAGCAAGACGTTACAGGAGAAGGAAATGTGCTGGCTACAAATTGTGCTCATGCGCTTACCCTGGCCTCACTCTCACATTTCACCCACCCATACACACCCACCCACACCCACCCACCAAGCCATCCCCATTCCAAGTAACCTCTCACCTGAAAGTTCACAACCCGAAACTGCATGTTTTTGCACGACACCTGCCCCCATCCACGCGTGGAAGTGCTCATACAGCTTGCTGCTGCGGCACTTGCTTTGCTCTCACTCTCACATCCACCCATATCCAACCATATCCAATGATATCCCATCATGTCCAACCATATCCACCCATATCCACCCATAAGCCACCCATCGGGTGACCAACATCTCCCTCCCCCCCCATGTATCCACACCCCCAAAAAATCCCAAACCCCCTCGCACCTGGAAGTTGACAGCCAGGAATTGAACGTTCTTGCGGGGGACCTGGCCCATCCACGCATGGAAATGCTCGTACAGCTTGCTGCTGGGGCACTTGTCGCCGCGCGTGGGTGCAAAGCGGAAGAAGTGTGAGGGAGTGGCGATGGAGAAATTGTTGTCCCACACGCACAGCCCCTCGTCGGACCACGAGGAGTTGTGGCACGCCCGCGGCTGGCAGAGCGACTCGACAAGGAACTTGGGGCGGAAGCGCGTGCGGCGGAGGCGATAAGCAAGCTTGGCACTGGTGGGTTTTGAGAGTGGGATTGAAGGGGGATTGGGGCGATTCAGGGAAGGGAAAGGGATGCAGGAAGGAGCAGGGAAAGGGAGTGAGAGGAGGGGGAGAAGAGGAGGAAGAAGTGTGAGGGAGTGGTGATGGAGAAGTTGTTGTCCCACACGCACAGCCCCTCGTCGGACCACGAGGAGTTGTGGCACAACCGCGGCTGGCAGAGCGACTCGACAAGGAACTTGGGGCGAAAGCGCGTGCGCCTCAACCTGTAGGCCAGCTTGGCACTGGTAAGGGTGTGCGGTTGCGAAAAGGGGAATGGAAAGAGGGGGATGAAGGGAAAGGGTTGCGGCACACCTTCGGCTGGCAGAGGGACTCGACAAGGAACTTGGGGCAGAAGCGCGCACGGCGCAGCCGGTACACCAGCAGGAAGGAAGGGGTTGGTGGGTTGGGTTGGGGAGAGATCCGGGCGAGTCGGGGAAGGGAAAGGGATACGTGAAAGTAGCAGGAAAAGGCAACGAGAGGAGGGAAAGAGGAGCGGAAACTGGAGGGCGTGGCACCTCACCTGACGCCTGACCTGACACATGGCGCCTTACCTGGCGCCTCACTCGACACCTGGCGCCTCACCTGACGCCAGTAACAGGCTCGGCCATGCAGGGCGGGTCGAGCTTGTCATTGGTCCAGCACTCGCTCCACGTGTACCACCCCAGCATGGTCATCTCGCTGTACTCCTTCTTGCGCATCAGATGACATGCCACCACCCACCCACCCACCCACTCACCCACAGAGTCACACGTGCACCACCGCCCATGCAACGCACGGCACCCCGAGATTGCCGTCCCATCACAAATCCCGACTCTCTCACTTGTCTCCCCCTATTTCACCTGGCGCCTCACCTCACACCAGTAACGGGCTCGGCCATGCAGGGCGGGTCGAGCTTGTTGTTGGTACAGCACTCGCTCCACGTGTACCACCCCAGCATGGTCATCTCGCTGTACTCCTTCTTGCGCATCAGATCTCATGCTCACCAAACAACCCACTCACACACCCACCCACCCACCCACGTACCCACCCAACCACCCACCCACACTGCACGTGCACCACCTCCCATGCACCTGACCTGGCGCCTCACCTCACGCCAGTAACAGGCTCGGCCATGCAGGGCGGATCAAGCTTGTCATTGGTCCAGCACTCGCTCCACGTGTACCACCCCAGCATGGTCATCTCGCTGTACTCCTTCTTGCGCATCAGATGCGCCGAACCTGGACGCCCTCCGAACAGCGCCATGGACCAGATCTGCTTGTACAAGGCTAAGAAGTCTTTCAGGGCGTCGATGTGCCACAGAGCTGATGGGGAAGAGGATGGGGGAAAGGGAGCAGAGACGGGTGGTAAGGGGCAGTGACGGGCCAATTCCCCTCACCAGCGCCATGGACCAGATCTGCTTGTACAAGGCTAAGAAATCCTTGAGAGCGTCGATGTGCCACAGGGCTGGTAGGACAGACAGAGGGTGGGGGGTAGGGGTCAAGGGGAGGAGGATTGGGAAAGAGAGGGGAGAATGTGATGGAGAGAAGTGGGCTGGGCACACCGCGAACAGCGCCGTGGACCAGATCTGCTTGTATAGAGCTAGAAAGTCCTTGAGAGCGTCGATGTGCCACAGGGCTGGTAGGATAGCAAGGCGGGAGGAGAGGAGGGTGTGAAAGTGGAGGGTGGATTTGAGTTGGGGGAAGTGGGTCAGGTACACTCACCAAACAGCGCCATGGACCAGATCTGCTTGTAGAGCCTTTTGAGAATTCTCAAAAGTCTCACCAAACAGCGCCATTTACCAGATCTGCTTGTAGAGCCTTTTGAGAATTCTCAAAAGTCTCACCAAACAGCGCCATGGACCAGATCTGCTTGTAGAGCCTTTTGAGAATTCTCAAAAGTCTCACCAAACAGCGCCATGGACCAGATCTGCTTGTAGAGCCTTTTGAGAATTCTCAAAAGTCTCACCAAACAGCGCCATGGACCAGATCTGCTTGTAGAGCCTTTTGAGAATTCTCAAAAGTCTCACCAAACAGCGCCATGGACCAGATCTGCTTGTAGAGCCTTTTGAGAATTCTCAAAAGTCTCACCAAACAGCGCCATGGACCAGATCTGCTTGTAGAGCCTTTTGAGAATTCTCAAAAGTCTCACCAAACAGCGCCATGGACCAGATCTGCTTGTAGAGCCTTTTGAGAATTCTCAAAAGTCTCACCAAACAGCGCCATGGACCAGATCTGCTTGTAGAGCCTTTTGAGAATTCTCAAAAGTCTCACCAAACAGTGCCATGGACCAGATCTGCTTGTAGAGCCTTTTGAGAATTCTCAAAAGTCTCACCAAACAGCGCCATGGACCAGATCTGCTTGTAGAGCCTTTTGAGAATTCTCAAAAGTCTCACCAAACAGCGCCATGGACCAGATCTGCTTGTAGAGCCTTTTGAGAATTCTCAAAAGTCTCACCAAACAGCGCCATGGACCAGATCTGCTTGTAGAGCCTTTTGAGAATTCTCAAAAGTCTCACCAAACAGCGCCGTGGACCAGATCTGCTTGTAGAGCCTTTTGAGAATTCTCAAAAGTCTCACCAAACAGCGCCATGGACCAGATCTGCTTGTAGAGCCTTTTGAGAATTCTCAAAAGTCTCACCAAACAGCGCCATGGACCAGATCTGCTTGTAGAGCCTTTTGAGAATTCTCAAAAGTCTCACCAAACAGCGCCATGGACCAGATCTGCTTGTAGAGCCTTTTGAGAATTCTCAAAAGTCTCACCAAACAGCGCCATGGACCAGATCTGCTTGTAGAGCCTTTTGAGAATTCTCATAAGTCTCACCAAACAGCGCCATGGACCAGATCTGCTTGTAGAGCCTTTTGAGAATTCTCAAAAGTCTCACCAAACAGCGCCATGGACCAGATCTGCTTGTAGAGCCTTTTGAGAATTCTCAAAAGTCTCACCAAACAGCGCCATGGACCAGATCTGCTTGTAGAGCCTTTTGAGAATTCTCAAAAGTCTCACCAAACAGCGCCGTGGACCAGATCTGCTTGTAGAGCCTTTTGAGAATTCTCAAAAGTCTCACCAAACAGCGCCATGGACCAGATCTGCTTGTAGAGCCTTTTGAGAATTCTCAAAAGTCTCACCAAACAGCGCCATGGACCAGATCTGCTTGTAGAGCCTTTTGAGAATTCTCAAAAGTCTCACCAAACAGCGCCATGGACCAGATCTGCTTGTAGAGCCTTTTGAGAATTCTCAAAAGTCTCACCAAACAGCGCCATGGACCAGATCTGCTTGTAGAGCCTTTTGAGAATTCTCAAAAGTCTCACCAAACAGCGCCATGGACCAGATCTGCTTGTAGAGCCTTTTGAGAATTCTCAAAAGTCTCACCAAACAGCGCCGTGGACCAGATCTGCTTGTAGAGCCTTTTGAGAATTCTCAAAAGTCTCACCAAACAGCGCCATGGACCAGATCTGCTTGTAGAGCCTTTTGAGAATTCTCAAAAGTCTCACCAAACAGCGCCATGGACCAGATCTGCTTGTAGAGCCTTTTGAGAATTCTCAAAAGTCTCACCAAACAGCGCCATGGACCAGATCTGCTTGTAGAGCCTTTTGAGAATTCTCAAAAGTCTCACCAAACAGCGCCATGGACCAGATCTGCTTGTAGAGCCTTTTGAGAATTCTCAAAAGTCTCACCAAACAGCGCCATGGACCAGATCTGCTTGTAGAGCCTTTTGAGAATTCTCAAAAGTCTCACCAAACAGCGCCATGGACCAGATCTGCTTGTAGAGCCTTTTGAGAATTCTCAAAAGTCTCACCAAACAGCGCCATGGACCAGATCTGCTTGTAGAGCCTTTTGAGAATTCTCAAAAGTCTCACCAAACAGCGCCGTGGACCAGATCTGCTTGTAGAGCCTTTTGAGAATTCTCAAAAGTCTCACCAAACAGCGCCATGGACCAGATCTGCTTGTAGAGCCTTTTGAGAATTCTCAAAAGTCTCACCAAACAGCGCCATGGACCAGATCTGCTTGTAGAGCCTTTTGAGAATTCTCAAAAGTCTCACCAAACAGCGCCATGGACCAGATCTGCTTGTAGAGCCTTTTGAGAATTCTCAAAAGTCTCACCAAACAGCGCCATGGACCAGATCTGCTTGTAGAGCCTTTTGAGAATTCTCAAAAGTCTCACCAAACAGCGCCGTGGACCAGATCTGCTTGTAGAGCCTTTTGAGAATTCTCAAAAGTCTCACCAAACAGCGCCATGGACCAGATCTGCTTGTAGAGCCTTTTGAGAATTCTCAAAAGTCTCACCAAACAGCGCCATGGACCAGATCTGCTTGTAGAGCCTTTTGAGAATTCTCAAAAGTCTCACCAAACAGCGCCATGGACCAGATCTGCTTGTAGAGCCTTTTGAGAATTCTCAAAAGTCTCACCAAACAGCGCCATGGACCAGATCTGCTTGTAGAGCCTTTTGAGAACTCTCAAAAGTCTCACCAAACAGCGCCATGGACCAGATCTGAGAAGAAACAAGGAAATGAATGAACTATGAATGAATTGGGTACAAGTAATAACCCTAATTGGGTTGTACCCCTTATAGGCTACCCCACTATAGCCTACACAATATGCATGAGCTATAATGTTCTGACACACCCCCATAGGCAAAGTGGGGGAGAACAAGGGGTCACAAGACCAGTCAAGTAAAGCAAAGCAAAGCAAGCTCAGGGTGGATCACAAAGTCACCACACATTCCGAGCACAAGTTCAAGGCCACAAGGCCAGTTCACATGCAGGAGTACATATATATAAAAAGGCTAGACAAGCAAGAGCAGGTATATATATATGTAACAGTACAAGCACGGTCAAGAGGTGAGCAAGTGAGGCAAGGTAGGCACAAGGCCCAGCTGAGTACAGAAGCGCTGATGGTCACAAGGCGCAAGCGCCTTGGTGAAGATATCAGCAGTGTTGGCCTCAGAGGCCACGTACGCAAGACGCAGCTGACCACGCTGCTGCAGCTCACGAGCAAGAAAGTAGCGGAGAGCAATGAGCTTCGTTCTGTGCTCCAGTCGCTGCTCCCGACACAAGGCCAGCATGGCCTTGTTGTCTACGTACAGCACTGGAGGAGAACGAGGCGGCTCTCCGAGGTCAGTCAGTAGGTAGGTGAGCCAGCAAAGCTCCTGTGCAGCCATGGCTCCTGCGTAGATCTCAGCCTCACAACTGGAGCCGAGAACAGAAGACGAGCGAGTAGCCCGCCACGAAACAGAGCCGGAACCAAGACTGAAGGTGTAACCCTGTGACGACCGCTGCGTAGCCTGGTCGTCAGCCCAAGAAGCGTCTGCGTGCCCAGTAAGGACCACTGGACTCTGCCCTCCAAGCACAAGCCCCATGCCCGACGTACTGCACAAGTAGCGCAACACCCTCTTCGCTGCAGCCATGTGCTCCGGTCTGTGTCTCCCAGGAGCAACATAGCGTGCGAGAATGCTAAGAGGGTATGCAAGGTCAGGTCGTGTGCAGGTCATCAGGTACATGAGGCAGCCAACAAGCTCTGGGTACGGGCCACTCGACTCTACGGACTCATCCGAAGGCAGAGCTGAGAGCGAGTGGCGAGTAGGCAGAGGAGTGGCCTGAGGCGAGGAGTACGTGAAGCCGAAGCGCTGAAGGACCTGCTGCACCATGTGTGACTGAGTCAGGGTAATGGTGCGGCGTGCTCTGTCCCGAGTGATCTGCAAGCCAAGGTAGCTGCGCAGTTCACCCAGGTCAGTGCACGTGTGTCTCTTCTGCAGCTCGGACTTCACGTGGGCGAGTCCAGCAGTGTCAGCTGTGGCAAAGACCAAGTCGTCGACGTACACGAGGATGTAGAACGGCGGCAAAGAAGTGTCGGTGCGCAGAAACAGCGACGGGTCGGCAGTAGAGGGAGCAAACCCAAGAGCCGCAAGTGTAGTCCTCAGTGTGTCGTGCCACTCACGCGGTGCCTGGCGGAGACCGTAGACTGGCCGCCGTAGGCTCCACTGGGTGCCAGGAGAAAAAGACCCAGTGAAACCAGGTGGGCGACGCAGCCAGATCTCCTCGTGCAGGCTGCCCTGCAAGAAAGCAGTGCTGAAGTCAAGAGAGTGTAGCTCGAAGTCACGGTGAGCAGCTACGTGCAGCAGTACCCGAAGAGTGGTCATCTTCGGGGTGGGAGAGAAGGTCTGAAAGTAGTCAACTCCCTGCCGCTGACTGAAGCCTCGAGCCACGTAACGCGCCTTGAAGACAGGCGGAGAACCCGGCGGCCGCTTCACCCTGAAAATCCACATGCCACTGACGATGTTCGTCTCAGGAGGGGGAACAGCGTCAATGTAGGTGCCTGTGGACTTC